AGGGAGCTGCCTGCCGGGCGGGAGGGAGCTGCGTGCCGGGCGGGAGGGAGCTGCGGCTAGCGCTCTGATGCAGTCCAGGGAGCCGCTCTGGGTGCTCTGTCAGCCGATCCGAACTTCGTGGTCAGGATGATAAAGAGCCGCTCGGCTCAGTAATGATTTGGAGCAGGTCAGGGATTTCTGTAATATGAGATCTACCACCGAACTAGGTCTTATTTTCGGGGTAGGTCTTATATTACAGAAATCCCTGACGATAGTGCTAGGTCTTATTTTCGGGGTAGGTCTTACTTTCGGGGAAACACGGTAGCACACACACAAGGTTGAATCTATAGGATCCTGCAAGGGAAAGGAGCCACCCTAAAACAGGAAGTCAGGACTAGTGCTCAGGGGACCAACTGATTCTGCCGTAAACAAACTTTTAAACATCAAGGAGCAGCATACATTGTAAGTGATATCAGTATTTGAAATAGCTTAAAAGGAGAACTATGAGGTGGGTGATTTTCACTCAACCTCATAGTTCTAGCCGACCTGTGACAATGAAACAGTCACAGGTCGGCTCAATAGATCGGGAAGTGAGCGAACACATTACGTCGCTCGCTCACTTCTCGATCATGTCCCTGCAGAGAGCCCCCCTCCCCTGTCCGATCCTCTAGCGCTGACTGGAGGAACGAACAGGGGAGGGGCGGGTACAGCTGGCTCTGCCTCTAGATAGGCAGAGCCAGCTGTCAATCACGCAGCTGGGTGGATCTCGACAGTAATGTCGGGATCCGTCCCGGCTGCGGCGGTCTCAGTATACTGCGAGCTATAGCTCGCGGTATACTGAGATTTGGGTGCTAGTTTATGTCCGCCCGTGACCCTGAAGAGAACTATGGGGAAAAACACTGACCCCATAGTTCTCCTTTAACATTTTGATTTTATTATCACTTTAAATTCTCTGTAGAGGATTGTTATTTATATATAAAGAGTTTTGTGAATGAATCCAACATCCAATGTTTCATGGGTTCATTGTAATTTTATTTCTGCATCTCATATAATGGTTATTACAAACAGTATTTATGGAAAGTCATCTATACGTATCCTATGAATAAGACACAGTCCTTAGTTTGTTTTTTTAGCCCCCTACATGTTTGCCAGATGGCAAAAGCTCTGTCTAGGGAGTCTTGGCCCCGATACAGCAAGACATACATCATAAATAAGTTATAGATAAAGTAGATCATTCAATCATATTAGAAATATTACTTTCCAGGTTAATGCGATACAACAATAACATTAGCACCAAAATATGTACATTTTTTTATCCTTAAATTCAGGATTACATGAAAACAATCAATCATTCTTAGAAGGTCGGAAAAGGAAAATAAATGTTCTTCAGGAAACAAAAAAAGAAAGGACAATTGGCTGAATTCTTCACATCCCAAACATCAACTCCATGAGTGCTGGAAATGTAAACACCATTATCACTCAGTACTGTAATACTTTACATGTATAATATGTATCAGACTTACTATCAATTGAAACTCATGGACAGTCTATACTTGGGGTGTACAGCATAGCAGGGCCTGACAACTGAAAATTTTGGGCTTATTTCATATTAAAAAAAAAAAAGGTTTCTTGCTAGTAGTATTTTAACTGTAAACAGCAACTTTGGCTGAGGATAAGGGTTGAGTTGGATTCAATGGTTTGCGACTGAGGGATGTACACTAGTTTAAAAAAAACTGTTTTGTGTATAGATGTAAATGTAAAAATTGTTCTGGTCCATAAGGTGTATACAGGTGCAAGAGCTGAACTGTTGGGAGCACTAGGTAGAATTACTGGACACGCAGTGTTTGACCCAATATTGGTTTTAAAGTAGAATTGTGGCCAGGCTATTGATGTTCCCATATTTACATTATTCTTAACAAGCAGTAAATAAGCTTTAAAAACAAAGCTCTCAGTGATCTCTGTTGCTGCAGGCACTGTGGAAAAAACCCCAAAATTGACAGTAAAAACATTTTCACCCTTATTTTACTCCTTGCCCCCCAACCAGCCAGTTATGACACAGCAGCCTGGCAGCATTCTAATCAGTGTAGACACAGAGCAGGTACTCTGAATGACTTCAGTGCTTCCCAATAAACTTTGAGGATGAATTGCTTCATGATGGTTTTAACTACATAGGACAGTGTGGGTTTGTAAAGGTTTCAAAATGATTGTTAAGAACAAATCTCTGTCTGAATGTCTTTAGCATGGCCACAGTTCTGCTTTAAGAGCAGATATTTGAAATAATGTTCCAGTTTCTGGTCTACTCAGTAAGGTCAGCTGAAAAGGTTTAAGCTATGAAGAAGACAAAAAGTGAGTTACAGTTATGAACTGGGAGCGTTCCCCAAACTGGGAGGAGAAGAACTGTGCTGTCAACCAGTAAGATAATGGAAAGGGTGAGTAGAGCTCACATATGTCTATAAGCAACTGGGAAACGCATCTTAGGTGTATTTCTGCTGCAGGTCATGTGCTTTAACCTGCTATATTTAGTCATTTTACCTGCTCCATATTTAAAGAAAAGATGTTGTCTCTGATTTGGACTAGATTTTAACCCCTGATTGCATACACGTGGTTCCTACCACATCTACTACCTTCTATTAAAGAATACAGCATATGAACTTGGTATAGTTTCCTTATTGCAGAAAAAGCTGTAAAATATAGTGGGCATATTGTACCTGGTTTGCTCATGCTCCTTCGTAATATACGCAGTAGCTCATCTGATAAGGCTAGCATTTCTGTGCGGAACTTTTTACGACCCTGGCATGTAAGTTTCCACAGGCAGGATCGCCGGTGTCCATCAGCACACACCCACCCTGAAATCTTTTCAAAGCTGCTGCTGAAGCACAAGTTGTGGCGTACAGTATTCTTCCAACCATCTGGGGCAGCGCGAAAAAATGGAAAATGCTCCCTGGAAAAAAAGGGGAAAAAAAGAGAAGACAAATTAAAAAAAACTTGCAGAGGAAAGCTCAGGATAACCCCTCCTCAACATGTCTCATTTTGTTGCTAGTGTCCTAGAAGACTAGACGTCTTTTCTTCAGCTCTGCTGTGTTACTTGTTGCTAGTACCTTTTTTCTTCTTTATTCATTACTGTTGGAGCTTTGTGTGATAGACGTCATCTAGCATGGTCATCTCCAGACTATGAGCAGTGGCGTCACAAGGGGGTGGTAGAATAAGATGCGGCCTGCACCCGTGTATCACCCCCTCTGAAAAGTCGGGCACTCTGTCCTGGACCGAGAGTCCAACAGTTGCAGGAGAGAGAGGTGGGGACCCAGCGGCATACCTTATCTTGCTGGGTGAACATCCCCTCCTCTCTGCCAGCATCCATCACCATGATGGCCGCCGGCGGGTATCACAAAGATGACGCGCATGTGCGATGACGTCAGGGGGCACGTGTGTGATGATGTCACACGCATGCGCAATGACTTTATGACCCAAACCAGCCAGCTATTTATTGACTCCGATTACCACAAGTGTGTTCCCAAACCCCCTCCTGCAGATCCTATATGTGATTTGCCCATGGCCTTAGTAGTTTCTGAGCCATCATCATTCTAAGCAGAGATTCTGATTCGGAGTCATTCCAGTCCTTGACTGATAAGCTTGCCCCAGAGAAGTTGCAGTCTACTGCGATTACTCCCAATTTAAGGTGGACCATTACAGCTCTAACTGTTGCAGTGAGCACCACTGAAACTCTGGGATCAGCCTGATGCTTCTACCAGTGCCATTTGCAGTCTTGGGCCATTTAGAACTGTTAAAGCCAAGACTTTCCTCTTGCATCCACCAGCCTGATAAGCATGTATCCATTTGGTGAGGAATTTGTGCAGAAATAGTCTATTCCCACTGTAGACCTGGCTGTGTCCCACGTAACTAGGTGCTTACTATTTTGGTATAGGGCAGACCCAACCGATAAGTGGTTGGAAGCCCTTTCCAAAGCTCTGTTCTTGCTGGTGGGTCCAGAGGTCTTGCTGGGGTAAAAGAGGTGAACTGGCTACTGTCCTGAGCAGAACGTCAAGATTTAGTCTTGTCAGTCGTATACATTCCAGGCATATCTTTCTGGTTTTGCATAGGGACAAGTTGGCATCGAGGCCCAGGACCTCCTTCTTGCCGAAGGTAGTTTCTGCCCTTCACTTCACCAGGACATTATTCTTCATTCTCTCTGTCCGGCTCCAATTCACCAACAGGACATTTCTCTCCATTGTCTGAATGTAGTTTGGGCTATGAGAGTCTCCCAGCTGTTGCTTCTTTCAGAAAGGCAGATTACATTTTTGTCATCTCAGATGGACCCTGTAAGGATGCACTCCTTCCACCATCTCAAAGTGGCTCATGCAGACAATCATTCAGGCTGGGCATCCCATAAATTAAATACTTTCTTTCCCTCATGGGATGAGAAAGAAAATATATTTTGGACTCACAGTAAAATTATTTGCTTGGAGTAGACAGAGACACGGGTCCCACCCCTCTGTGTTTATGATCATGCTACAAAACTGAGACATGCTTGTCTTGTTGGAAGGATTATCCTGAGCTGGCTTACAGTTCTTTGTTTGCCAGTACCCAATCCTCCTGTAGGCGACAATAAAACCTAGAGGTAACGATTTCCTTTGTCCGAAGAAAATTATTTTATGGCGAGTACAGAATTCCTATTAGTATAATTATAAATCCTATTATATTGTCCAGTGAAGAGGATGATGCTCCTATTTTTGTTCGAGAATAAAGGTTTATTAGGCCGTACATATAGAAACAGAAGAAGCACACGGATCATATACACGATCAGCCATAACATTATGACCAATGTAAAGTGAAGTGAACAACTTTGATTATCTCATTACAATGGCACCTGTAAGTGGGTGGGATATATTAGGCAGCAAGTGAACATTTTGTCCCTGGAGTTGATGCATTGGAAGCAGAAACAAAATGGGCAAGTGTAAGGATTTAAGCGAATGTGACAAAGGGCCAAATTGCAATGGCCAGACGACAGGGGTATAGCAATTCCAAAACTGCAGCTCTTGTGGGAAGTTCCCAGTCTGCAATTGTCACGACCTACCAAAAGTGGTCCAAGGAAGGAAAACCGATGAACTGGCGACAGGGTCATTGGCAGCTAAGGCTCATTGATGCTTGTGGGGAGCGAAGGCTGGCCGCGTAGTCCAATCCAATAGAAGAGCTATTGTAGCTCAAATTGCTAAAAAAGTTAATGCTGGTTCCAAAAGAAAGGTGTTGAACACACACTACATTGCAGTGTGTTGTGTATGGGGCTGCAAAACCGCAGACCGGTAAGGGTACCAATGCTAACCTGTGTCCACTGCCAAGAGCGCCTACAATGGGCACATGAGCATCAGAACTGGACCAAGGAGCAATTGAAGAAGGTGGCCTGGCCTGATAAATCACCTTTTCATTTATATCATGTGGATGACCGGGTGCGTGTTTGTCCCTTATCTGGGGAAGAGATGACACCAGTATGCACTATGGGAAGTTGGCAGAGGCAGTGTGATGCTTTGGCCAACGTTCTGCTGAGAAACCTTGGGTCCTGACATTCATGTGGATGTTACTTTGACACATACCACCTACCTAAACATTTAACTTACAGGACTTAAAAGATCTGCTGCTGACGGCTTGGTGCCAGATACCACAGCATATCTTCAGAGGTCTAGTGGAGTCCATGCCTTGATGGGTCAGGGCTGTTTAAGCAGCAAAAGGGGACCTACTCGATATTAGTCAGGCAGTCATATTATTATGGCTGATCTGTGCATAGAATAGCTTTGTTTTATCATATTCATATCTGACTTGGCATACAGCTTCAGTAACAGAAAAATAACATGCCTGTTATCAGCTCACCTAACAAAGCTGTAAATCTGTTGTACATTTAGACTTCCGTCACTACTGTTCCTTAGTGCCAGAGATATTAAGTTGCAATAATTGATTGGAGGCCGTGGCCAATTTTCGTACTGAGAGAGACTTCTCCGTATGTGTACCTTCCTGCCATAACACCTCGGGATACAGAGTGGAGGAGGTATGGGTGTAGATGGGGGATCATTTTCTGCAATCTGTAGTAGGGAGAACACATGTCATAACAAAATGGTACACATTTCATTTTTTTTTTAAATGCAGTATGTTTGAATTTTTCCACAATGCACCACCATCATCATACCCATGATGTGTTGTAAACAGTTGTTTTCTATGTGACTTAGCTGTGACTTACATTGCCCTGCTGCAGTAAAAGGCAGGTCACTGCTATATGTGTGAATACTAGCACATAAGGCAATGAGGAGAAAAAAAAAAAAAGGGGGGGGGGGGGCAACATTTATCACATCTCTGAAACACACACACACACACACACACACACACACACACACAAAACAATGTTTTATCCCTTTACACAAGCTGCAAGTACAGAAAAATAACTGCTGATATAGAAATATAGTGCCGAACACAGCTCCAAATTTCAAAGCAGGTGGTGCCAGCCCTGCCTACTTAATTTCTGAAGGATTACAAGAAACAGCCACCTCCTCTTCTCCAAACCCTTCCTTGTGCACAGTTCTAGAGCATCAGAAGCTTACAAGATTTCATAAACTGATATAACATAACACTTGAATGGAATATTTAGCAGACCAAAAAGGAGCAAACTAGAAAACAGTATCTCTACAATAGATGTGTATATTCAGTACAAATAATAATGCAATCGGACCTGAAAAGAATTATATAAAATCAATATAATAAGACTTTCTTTTCAATTCTTCAGCAAATATTTTTTTTTCCTGTTGTGCCTCTGGGACAGGCCATGGGGCGCATTGAGTCATTGTGATGAAGACCTCTTTAGAGCACTGGGGCTGGGGGTAGGGATCAGAGGGTGTGCACTTTGTCACTGCCTACTGATGCCATGTAGGTCCACATTTGCCCCTCTTCATAGTGATGTGGACAACACTATGCTGTCAATCAGGATGCCTGGGGCGGGCGGGGGGTGGACCTAGGTCAGGGGTAGGCAACCTCGGCTCTCCAGCTGTGCTGAAACTACAAATCCCATAAGGCATTGCAAGCCACAGGCATGACTCCCAGAGGCAGAAGCATGATGGGATTTGTAGTTTCAGCACAGCTGGAGAGCCAAGGTTGCCTACCCCTGACCTAGGTGGTTCCTGTGCTGAATGGCAATGAGGAGGAGGGTTATCAATAGTGAAAACGTCTGTAAAACTTCCTCCTCAAATGTATAATTGTCTTGAAGTCATAAAGCCCACAGGGGCTGCCAGGGGTTGCAACACTTCAGTGATTTCACTGCATGGTACCTAGCGTTGTCACCTCAATAGGGATTTCTAAATAGTTTTTTTTTTTATGCACATTTTATTTTATCTATAGTAAAACTAGCATTTCTTTTTACCCTTTTTTTTATTTTTCAATCAAATGTGCAAATTACAAGACTGGAATAAAAAACAATAAAAAACAAACATTCCCCAAAAAATATATTTTGACCCCCTAAACCCTCTCCAGTAACCCCTCACCTTTTATATTCTTATCCAAACTGTTTGAATTACACATTCATCCTAAATGATTAAATCTTGTGCAATCTGATTTACCTCAAAACACAGGAACAGCATTCAGGTGAATAGATCTTCATTTGATACCCTAGACCAAAATAAGCACTTAACTCTTTCAGAGTGGGGGTAGTCCCACTGCAAGGGTTCATTTTCTAAACACCCAGCTTTGTTCTTTAAACATATTGCCAATGACATTCTGACTTCAAAAACGAAGTTCTAGCTGTACATATAACCTAGAGAATGTTACTAGCTGAATGGTACAATATTAAGTGGCATGCTCACCCTGTGGAGTTTCTTCCTTGGACATACAGGAAAGCACCCCTAGGCTTTGTTCACGTTTTACTGACAATCGGTCCATCTTCTGTTCAGCGCCTATTCATTAATATAATATACACGTTAAAATGTAGCATTTTCAGCTAATAAAATACACACTTTACATTTTTGCATGTCCAGATAATAGGCCTAAAGCTGGCCATACACCTTACAACCATCGCAAGACTTTTGTCTTGCGATGGTTGTAAGGCAATTAAAAAAACATACGATCTGCCCATCTTGGACAGGCAGATCGTACTTGCGATCATCGCAAGCCCGCCCTGCTGAGGGGCAGGCTTTTGATGACTGCAATGCCGCACGGGGAGTGTGCGTTTCCGCACAACGGCCCTGCGGCATTTGTCTCCCGAGAACGCCACTAACCCGCCGACAATCGTACAATTCTCGGCGGGTTTTCAAGCCTGCTCGGGAGACAAAAGATGGAAGAATCTGTTGCACTTTTTCCAAGTGGCCAAAGAAAATCTGCAGATAATCTATAGGTGTATGGCCAGCTTAAGGCTGGGTTCAAACCTAGATGACAGCTTTTTTGTCAGTACATAGTGAGGGGCGGGCTTCCGATGACCGCAATGCTGAACGGGCAGTGTGCGCTTGAGCACACCGGCCCGTGGGGCAATTATCTTACGATCATGCCACAAACCAGCCGAAAATCGTACGATTCTCGGCTGGTTTTCAAACATGTTCGTAAGACAAAAGTCGTGCGACCGTACAGTAGAAACGGTGGCATGCCCAGTGGCGGATTTGCACCAGGGCCCTTTGTTCCTTAGCTCCGCCACTGGGCATGCCGTTCACACACCTTGCAATTATCGTACGATCACGGGATATCCTGCGATTATCGTACGATCGGAAGGTGTGTGGGCACCGTTAATCAGACCTAAGGTGGCTGGCTGGGGTACAGGAGCAAAACATCACCCCCCAAAAAAATAACCAGCACTCTAGTAAAACTCATAGGCTGCAACACAGGTGGTTGTAATGATGTGACGTCCTCTTCCAAACTGACCACTGTAGCATTGCCAGCCCGCTGTGAGCATACACACATAGGCACAGAATTATATCTACAGTCCAGCCAGCATAGAGAACTAACTATAGGACCTCATCTATCCAGATATGAAAGCAAAGCACACGCACACAACTATTATATATATGTCCATTAATAATTCCAATACTACTTAGCCATTAGTAGTTATGTAGGTAGAGAAAAAAAAAAGTGCATGTCTATCAAATTCAACCCAAACCCATCTCCAACATGCCACCTTGATCCTTGTGTCATTCATGCTGCTTATTATCATTCTGGGTATCAGTACTCAAATGGTATACTCAGACCAAGCTAGGAGCGCTGTCACTATAAAGAAGTTGCTATTAAGCTGAAGGGTTTTAAATGCTCACCAAATCCCTTCCATTACCACCCATATGAACTAGCCCTACGTGATCACAGTACACAGAGGTCATTGATGCTCAAACATTTCTATTATTACACCGTGCTTACCAGCAAAGTACTGATCTATAGTAACACACTGTTTGAGTTCTTGTATCATGTCCCAGTCTTCTAAAGCAGTTGATAAATGAAGATTCTTATACTTGCTCCTGTTAGCTAGGTGTAAATACATTACTCCTGTTGGGTTATCACACAGCAGCCCAATGTTGATTTTCAGCCTTTCATAAACAGGTGGTTTTAATGGTCATTTGTAGTTCCTCCCCTTCAGACTTAAAGTGACACTAAACTGAGGAGTTAAATCTTTAAAATACATTCAAGTAACTTATCTATTATCAAAAATGTATCTTATTTGTGTATCACTTGGCTGTAGATCCTCAAATCATCTCTGAATTGGTGCTGACACTGTCCTTCCTTCTGGAGGGGGGCTACTTTTGTTCCCCATGGTCCCTGTGTGTGTTGTAAAATAGCCACCGCTCCAAGCTCGCTTATCTGATAGACTACAATCAAACTACAAATTAGTAAATCTGAGATTGTAGTCCTGAGGCGTGTTCAGTTTCTTAGCCAATCGCTGAGTCACTGTTCTGGAGCACGTCAGTTTGCTGCAGCGGCCTCACTGAACACTTCGGCTGCACAGTGCTAAGAAAAATGGCAGAGGATAATAATTTTGACTAATACATACCATTTTCCAATGAATATTTAGTGTGCTCGATCACCAAAACATTAAATTGTAGGTCCCCACACTAAATTGATTTCCTCCACCAAGGTTCAGGCACCTTTCCCCAGCTCTGTCAGGTGTGCCCACAGTTAAAATGGCTGTTGGTGCTCTATCCCCACCTCTCTGTCACCCTCAGCACTCTGCAGCTACTTTCACTTCTGCTGTGAGTGCTAAGTAAGCATTGCTGAGCGCTGACTGGCAGCATAGTGTTCAGAGGCGGTTTTCTAACTCAGCACTCGCAGCGGCTGAACAACTGAGCACACCTCAGGAGTGAGCTTAGAGCGATGGCTACTTTACAACACACACTGGGACCATAGGGAACAAAAGTAGCCCCCCTCCAGAAGGAAGGACAGTGTCAGCACCAATTCAGAGAGGATTTGAGAATCTACAGCCGAGTGATACACAAATAAGATACATTTTTATTAATAGATAAGGTACTTGAATGTATTTTTAAGATTTAAAGGAGAACTATGGGGTAAGTGTTTTTCCCCATAGTTCTCCTAAGGGTCACGGGAGGACATAAACTAGCGTCCTCCCGTGACCCAAAGTTCAGTATACCGCGAACTACAGTTCGCGGTATACTGAGACCGCGGCAGCCGGGACAGATCCTGACATCACTGTTGAGATCCACCCAGCTGCATGATTGACAGCTGGCTCTGCCTATCTAGAGGCAGAGCCACCTGTAACCGCCCCCTCCCCCGTCCGTTCCGCCAGTCAGCACTGGAGGATCGGAGAGGGGGGAATCCCTGCAGGGAGCCGTGAGTGACAGTCACTGCTCTCTGCAGGGAGATGATCGAGAAATGAGCGAGCGACGGTATGTGTTCGCTCACTTCCACGATCTATTGAGCCGTCGTGACAGTTGCATTGTCACACGTCGGCTCGAACTATGAGGTTGAGTGATAATCACTCACCTCATAGTTCTCCTTTAGGACCAGTTCACACCATATGCAGTTGTGATGCAGTCCGTTTATTTCAACTGCTGCAATTAAAATACATCTCAATGCTTTCCTATGGGCTTTCTTGTGCCTAATTCACACCATTGCAGTCCGTTCAACTGCAGTCAGAAAAAGTACTGCTTGTCCTATTTTACCTGCATCTAACTGCACTAAACGCATCAAAACGCAGTGCAAACGCAACAGAATGCATACAAAAAAAACAACAGAATTGATTGTGGCATCATCCAGGGACATGCAGGGAAAAAAACGCATCAAAAACGCATCACAAACGTGTCAAAACTCATCAAAACGGATTGCAGTGCAAATGCGCAGACGCACACAGTTGTGATGCAGTTTCTGGTGTGAACTAAGCCTAACTCCTGAGTTTAGTGTCACTTTAAAGGGTCAGTGTGAAATAAACTTTCGCATGGACTTGGCATAAAATCTGAATATAACTCTTGCTAAATTATGTCCGTCATTCAGGAATTATGTGACATTCGTTATTGCTATATAAAGTGATGCCAGTGGTAAAGCCTGATACATATTGCCGCTCACTGAAGGCTGATTCACGCCACATTATTTTGTTCTGCTAAAGGCACAGTATCTGCGTTTACTGCACGGTGTCGCACAGGACAATGCTGCATGCTAGGTGCACTGGTGCGTTTACGTTAATTCTGAATGGTACCCCAAAACACCTCCCAGTAAGCATGCATTGATTGCGCTGCATCCCATGGTACCACGGGATGAGAAAAAAAGTGCACGCATTATTCTTTTTCACCACTTGTCAGTACAATTTATGTTATTGAAGTACAATGCATGCATGTAGGGAGGTGTGTTTGTGTGAATGGTAACTCCCCAGCACACCCAGTGTGCGGTGCATTGCGGTGTATGATAGCGTGTGCTAAATTCATGGATGCCTTTAGTGCAATGCTATGGTGTGAACCAGCCCTAAATAACGGTATGACAAGTTCATTTCAGTAAATATTTAACTTCAGAAACTACATTGGAGTCTGAAATGTAAAAACCACAAGTTACATCTCTTCCCCAACTGCTCATTACCAGACCCTCCGGCCAGGTTCATACCGTTTTCCAGACCAGAACTGGACCAGATCTGGAACACGGTGCATTGCATTTTGCTGCGTTTTTACCACAACTTTACCGCAATTTTGTTGCGTTCCGGCGCTGTTTTTTTTAAAAGCTTAAACAGGGCTTTTAGCTGCGGCCCAGTGCGTTTGCATGTGTTTTTTTATGTGTTTCCATGCGTTCCAGTGCATTCCAGACCAGACAAAATGACACATGCAGTATTTTTCTGGTCTGGTCTGGTCTGGAATGGACTGTGCTGGTGTGAACAGAGCATAGGGATACATTAGGATGCATTTTGGGTCCGGAAACAATCTGGTTTGGTCTGGAGATAATCTGGATGTGGTGTGAATGGTCCCTCCAAAATGATGCACTCCAGCAAGTATGACCCCCCACCCCCCCCCCACACTGCTCCTGATCATCTCTGTCTGATTACACTGACACTCCTGGTTTACAATCACAGACCTAGAAAGCTGAGAATATTTTATTCTGAAAGGTAGAGAGAGGATCAGGAGTCTAGAACCTACTGCAATGAGTCATTTTGAAGGGTCATGCTGTTGTATTTTTTTTGTTCAAACTGCTGGCTGAACAAACAAAAATTGAGGCTTGCTTGGACCGTCTGAAATATACTGGGACCGCTGTTTCCAGAAAGGTTGCTCAGAAAGGCACAGCCAATCATTGCCTTTGCCTCAACCCCTAGCATTGCATAGACCTGGAAACAGCAAACCTGGGACTCTAATAGCCAGTTCACATCACTGCGTTACAGTAAAAGTGTGGGGTTCAGAGCACTGTACTGCACACTAATACGGTACAAAGTACTGCATTGCCCTTTATTCTCAATGGCAGCCTATCGCAGGTGTGCATTGCAGCATCGCACAGCGTGTGGTACCTCAAAAACATGCATTGTGTTGTTGTGTTGTGATAACGTGGGTAACTCAGTCACGTTAGTATAAACACAATGGAACGCCTTGACACATTCCATCGTGTCTTAATATAGGTGAATGTGGTATGGCTGGAGTCCTATACATTATGGCATTGGCAACCAAAGGGTTAAAACAAACTCAAAGCTGCACTGTCCGCCCCAAGCTAGTTTTTGGTTGGCTAGCTCAAACGCACTCCATACCATGTTGTAACCCCTTTTTGCTGCTGTGGACTTTGAAGTTGGCCATTGAAAATATATAATGTTGCTGGGTTTTACGTCATTTTCAGGCCTAAAATGTGGAATATAACATGGGTGCAAAAAATGAAAAAAGGGCCTCAGTCATGAAGGGGTTAAGACTTTTCTTCTTCGGCCCCGTGGACTAAACAAGAAACATTACTTGATTCACCCGTCCATGCTGAAGAGCATGCATGGAGGAATCTGCCTTGTTGGCTATTGTATTCCTGCGCCCGCAGCTGTCAGAATACCTGACAAGTAACTGCAGCTGATTGGCTGCAGTCACTATTCGGCCGACAATTTTCCACCCAACTCCTCCAACAAAAGATAATGGAAAAAAATACCATATTATGGCCACTAGATGGAGCCGAGGATCATAAAGGAATAAATACAACAAGAGGCACAATGTGACAATACTAGAGAATCTTGGAGGGAATCAGCAGATAAATGTAACCATTCATAGTACCGGGATCCCTTGAGATTCCTCTTGTCCTTTAATGTTGTAGAAGCCTCACTTCTTATTCAGGAAGCTTCTTTGGATAGAACGAGTGGTAGGAACACTCATGGGGGATCTGCCTTGACACATTCCATGGTGTTTGAATAAAGGCTACTGAGCTACTGGGGTATGTCCCTGTCACCCAATAAACCTGAGTAACCCATATACAGCAGCTATCACCCAGCAGCCCAATAAACCTGAGTAACCCGTATACAACAGCTATCACCCAGCAGCCCAATAAAACTGAGTAACCCGTATACAGCAGCTATCACCCAGCAGCCCATTAAAACTGAGTAACCCGTATACAGCAGCTATCGCCCAGCAGCCCATTAAAACTGAGTAACCCGTATACAGCGGCTATCACCCAGCAGCCCACTAAAACTGAGTAACCCGTATACAGCAGCTATCACCCAGCAGCCCACTAAAACTGAGTAACCCGTATACAGCAGCTATCACCCAGCAGCCCAATAAACCTGAGTAACCCGTATACGGCAGCTATCGCCCAGCAGCCCAGTTATTGCAGATTCACATTCTCCTCTAGAAGCTGACATCATTCACCTTCTCTGCACCTGAGACACTCATGTGAATGTGACCCAACACATCCCCTCTAGCTACTGTTGGCTCCCATTCCCACAGGGACTTTTTCATGTTTTCCTGCGGCAGGAATGCCAGGTGTGTCCATACTCCCTTCTATGTGGCCACTGTGCCCATTCAAGTTAAAGAAGAACTCTGGGAACACATTTTATTAACCGTTGCAGTGGGGCTACCCAAATGCTCATTTTGGCCTAGGGAGGAAACGAACACAGTTATATTCACCTGATCTTCTGAGCCAGCTTGCTGGAGCCTCTCTCCTCCACCGCTGCAGTGGTCTAATGTCCCATAAATCAGCATGTCCAATGTATAGGATGTGGGGATGCCGGGGGACATTCCATCACTGGAGTGGAGGAGAGAGGCGGGGGAACGTGCTGTCACTTTTGCTATGTTCCTCCCTAGACCAAAATGAGCAGTTAACCCTTTCAGTGTGGTGGTATCCCCACTGCAATGGTTAGTAATCATTTTCCCCAGGGTTCTGCGTTAATACTTGATTGGACCATAATGTTGTCCCAGCAGTTTTTAATCTTATCGATAATTTCTTGTTGGCCAACCTTGAAATAGATAAAACTATCTCTGATTATCTTTATATCAAACAAATAACAAGAACAATATTTCCCCAGAAACGACTGAGCTCAGCTATTTAGCCGGCTCCTATGACCTATAATCCAGATAATCTCCCCGAGACGGAGTGAGAAATAATGGTTACTTTGTCTTAAAGCGCAACTCCAGGCAGAGCTATCTTTTTATAAACCTTTCATTCTCACAGAAAGCTTCTCATTTTTGGTTTTAGCCCTTGTCTTTAACCTCCGCTGAGAGCTCCTGATGTGTATAGTGGGGAGACACACTTCCAGCTACTATGGAATCCCCAAATTGTCCATAGGCTTATTGCTCATCAATTTAGAGTTAACCATAAATGATGGCCCCAGATTTACTGATTTCACTCCGGCATGTGCGGCAATAGCTAATATGTGTGACTTGTTTTCATAGGCATGCACACCTGACTCGTAGGTGTGCGCTCCTGTGTATGCGTATGCTCGTTTGTGTCTAGGTTAAAAATAAAAAACAAAGATATTTTCAGGGAGGGAGGAGACAGGCTGAAGGAAGTGCCGTGACAGCTGACCAGCTCGGAGCTGGTGAGTATATCTTTATTATTTTATCACCTAGACACAAACAAGCATCTAATCCTTGCAGTGCGGGGGCAGCCTCACTGCAAGGGTTAATACAAAAAATTCCTGGAGTTCTTGTTTAACTTTATTGCTATCATAAGTCCCCTATGTGGTAGCATAGTGAAGGTGACAGGTACTCTTTAAGGAAACATCAGTGGGCTATCAGACCCCTATCATCACCCTGCATCCTGTTGAAGCTGATTGAGCACAGACTGATGGTGTTTGACAGCTCTGTACCCAGAAGGGCTCAGTGCTGAGCACTTCTGAGTTCATACTACCTGCCACTCTTCCTCCGGACACCTGCCATGATGCTCCTGGGCACCCAGGAGGTATGGGTAAGTCCAGGACATTGCCCGGGGGGGGGGATTGAGGATGTTCAGGAAGATGGCATTTAAAGCACACGTGAATTACTACCTGGCCGACAAAAAAAACTAAACAAATTCCCTGCTGCTATAGCAATAGAGTTTGTTTACATGCTGCCACTGCCATACAAGTAGAAACTGATTAAAGGAGAACTATGGGGTTAAGGCTTTTCCCATAGTTCTCCTTAGGGTAACGGGAGGACACAAACTAGCATCCTCCCATCACCCTAAGCTCAGTATACCGCGAGCTACAACTCACGGTATACTGAGACGCCGCAGCTGAAGCGGATCCCGACAATTATGTCTGTATCCACCCAGCTGTGTGAGTGACACTGGCTCTGCCTATCTAGAGGCATCTCTTAAAAACAAGGGGGTACTCCCTTTTAAACAGTTGTCTCCAGAACAGAACAAGTTTTCCCATTGGATGATTTCCATTCACCTCCTTTTTTTCTGTGACAGCTCAAAAATGTTTCATTTTTTATTGTTTTCTGTACCAGAGAAAATGGTCTTTTGGACCAGTAGTGAGGGTGAAGGTGACTCTCCTGAGCAGGGACACAGTCAAGGACAGAAGTTCTAACCTTTCCACATTCTATCTCAAACTGAAATGTTACGCTAACAGGGTTATTCCCTCACACTGATCCACTCTGTACACTGTGCAGTACTCTATAATGCACATGCCTCCATTCTGTACTGTATAAAGCACAAGGCTCCACTCTGTACAGTGCTGCAGGGGCGTCCCGAGGCTGGGTGACACCCGGAGCGGTAGCCGAGTATCACCCCGCCGAGACGTCACTGCGCATGCGCGTGACGTCACCACGCGGCAGTATTCTGATACCTGCCTGCGGCCATCTTGGTGATGGTTGCCGGCAGAGAGAGGAGGGGACAGTCACCCGGCGGGATAAGGTATGCCGCCGGGTCCCCTCCTCTCTCCTGATACTGTCGGGCGTTCGGTCCATGACCGAGCGCCCGACTTTTTCAGAGGGGGTGCAGGAGGAACCAGTATGAGTGTTTTTTTTTTTAAATCACCTTGAATGTCCTTCTCTCTGCATTGCAAAGTCCTAAGTCCAGTGCATAGCAGAGCCAAGTTCATTGCGTCACAGAGGCCTGAGGCCGTTGTGCCATTGTATTGCAGAGCCCTGAGTTTATTGTGTCACAGGGTTTTAGGTCCATTACAGCCCAGAGCCCCAGTCCATTGTGTTGCAGAACCCTAACTTTATTGCGCTGGGGAGCCCTGAGTTTATTGCGTTGCAGAGTTCTGAGTCCATTGCGTTGCAGAGCCCTGAGTTTATTGCGTTGCAGAGTTCTACGTCCAGTGCGTTGCAGAGCCGGGTCCAGTATGTAGCAGAGCCCTGAGTTCTTGGCGTAGCAGAGCCCTGAATCCAGCGACGTCCAGTCCAGAGGGTAAGTAACATTATACTGTGAATCAGTGATATGAATAAACTGTGCAGATACAAGGCATTTTTATCAGTAGTTGTACTCGTGAAAATGCCCCGATACCAAAAACCAATACCATCGCTCTAAAGTTTCAAAGTGAAGTGGCTGCTTTGGTCCCGCGCTTGCTGGGGACCTCATGACAACCTTCTTGGAAAGCACACGGCACCTGTTTACAGCGCTTCCTCCAGCACGCACATCTCCCTCTCCTGAGACCCTCCACACCCCTCCTGACATCCTCCACCCCAGACATCAGGCCAGCACCCTGGAGCAGAGCACCAACACAAAGTATGTAGCAAATTCATATACTATTCTGCATTACTGTATAATGCATTGCTAGGCTTTAGAGTCCTTTATGTTTGATGGTTTTCTGTATTGCTGTATAATGTATTCCTGGGATTTGTAGTCCCTCTACAGCTTGAAGTCAGTGGCAGAACTACCAGGGTCACAGTGGTCATAACTGCGACCGGGCCCTGGCGCTCCTCCACTGTCTTAAAATTACATCACATAAAAAAAAAGCACCCCATTGTGCTCTTAATGTGGCCCCCCCCGCCATCAGTATAGAGACACACTGGGGATTCCTAATCCCTAATACTTCACATTCCATACAACGTTTTCCCCCCTCCTTTCTCACTTTGTCATTCTACAATGGCCGCTTAATAAAGTTTTGTTGAAAAAAGTAAAGCGAGGTCACATGGCTCCGGGTTGAGTAACGTGACAGGCCGCGGTGGGACCGGGCAGAGGGCAGTGACAGGTGCGGGGCACACCGGTACCGGATCATGGTGAGTGTCTGGCGGTGATAGAGAACTCTCGTCTTGTAGGAGAGCTGTGTGTGTGCGGCGCTATGTGTCCTCCTGTGACCGCTGTCACCATGCCGGCAACTTCAACGTGCTGTCCTAGTGGCAGACATGTTATCAGTGGGCATTACAGGACGAGACCTTCATTCTTCATCTGACTGGGATGACGAGTATCGTTATGTGGGTTATCGATGTCTCTAAAATTAACCCTTTCGTCGCACAACACCTTGTAGCTGATTGAATGGAGTGGTGGCTGCTGATACTTCTAATCATCTTCCGGTTTCCCCAAGAAGCCCTGTCCTCCAACTTGTGTTCCCGAGGGGAGAGCCTCTGCCCTCCAACTTGTGTTCCCGTGGTATCCCTGTCCTCCAACTTGTGTTCCTGGGGGGAGCCCCTGTCCTCTAACTTGTATTCCCGAGGGGAGAGCCCCTGTCCTCTAACTTGTATTCCCGATGGGGGGGGCCTGTCCTTTAATTCTATAATATTTAAAGGCAAAAAGGTTAAACCCTCCCCTTCCCCCCGGCTCTAGCGCTATGATTGGTAGCCGTGCAATGAATGACTACCGCTTTACCTTCTATTAGCCAGGCATAGTCATAATCAGTGTTCAATGAAAATGCTGCATAATAATCTCCAGCATCCCTGAGTATGGTGCTGCTACTTCTCAGAAACTTGCTTCCGACATTCTAAGGGCCCATTAACACTGCTGCATTGTGGTAACGCACGGCAACACACTTTACATGCATTGCTGCGATCTGGTATCATTTGTTCTGAATGGCATCCCAACGTACTTTGCCAATGGGCCCACTAATGTGTGTGGCCAGAAATGACACGTGCATCTTTTTTGGTGTGACCTGGTGCCTCAGGCGGCCTATGTGAATAAATTGGTTGCTTTCACGCAACACATTCTAATGTACCACAATGTTGTGATTGGGCCCTGAAGAACAAATTGGTAACTGATCGGACATATTTGTCTCTCATTGGGACACCAGAAATGTGTTTGTCAAAAATTCTACCTAAAATAAAATATTGATGTTGCAGTATAAACCGAAAATAAAATATTGATGTTGCAGCGTGAATCTTGGACTATGCTCACACCATGTCTGGACCAGATCTGCAAACGCAGTGAAGTGCATTTTTGCTGCGATTTTGCCTTTTTTGTGTGTGTGGTTTTTGATTTGTTTTTTTAGCTTTTAATGACCTTTCTGGTGCTGTCCAGTGCATTTGTATGCGTTTTTAATGGGTTTCCATGCGTTGCAGTGCTTTCTAGACTGGAGAAAATGAGACAAGCAATTTTTTTTCCCCTCTGGACCAGAATGGGCTTCACTGGTGTGAACAGAGCCCAGAAGTACCATAGGGATACATTGGGGTGCGTTTTTGATCCAGAAACAAACTGTACTGGTCTGGACATGGTCAGGATAAGCCCTAAAGAAGAACTCTGGGGAAAAATTATTCTTGACCCTTGCAGTGTGGGGCTACCCCTGCACTGCAAGGGTTAAGTGCTCGTTTTCATCTAGGGTGTAAAATAACAAAGTTATACTCCCCTGAACCTCAGAGCCGGCTTGCTCTTAGGGCCCGTTCACACCAGATGCAGTGCGGTCCAGCCCGATTCTGGCCAGAACCCGCTGCCTCGCATTGCGGCCGTCTCACTTTTTTGTGGGGCAGGAGGGGACGTGGTAGTTCATTGAAGTGAATGGCACCGTAGCCGCGCCCTCCGGCCGCACGGGATTGCAATGCAAATTTTGCCTGCAGTACGGCCCGGTGCATACTAAATAGCGCTTGCAGCATTTTGATCGGACCGCAGGCATAATGTGCCTTGCGATCCTGTGCGGCCGATCACGTTGCAGCTGGAGGGCGTGGCTACAGTGCCATTCACTTCAATGGCTTGCCAGGCCCCCTCCTGCCCCACAAAAAAGTGAGCCGGCCGCAATGCGAGGCAGTGCATTCTGGCCAGTATCTGGCCAGAACGCACTGCATCTGGTGTGAATGGGCCCTTAGACCGGCCCTGCAGCCTCTCTTCCCCTCTCCTCCAGCGGTCTAAAGGTGCCCTTTACACCTTACGAATGTCGGACGATTTTCGTATGTGATTGCGTTATTGTCTGATATTCGTAAGGTTGATGGGCATTGTACAACCGCAAATACTGTACAATCGTACAACTTTTGTCTTTCCAGAAGGTTAGAAAACGTCTGTTGAATCGTACGATTTTCGCAAGGTTGGTGGCATTTCCGTACGTCAAAATTTGTACGATTAAGGCCTGATTCACACTGGAATCGGCCGGCGCGTACAGCTGCGTGCAGGGCTGTATCGAGCAGCTCCCGGGAAGGACAGGTGCTGCGTGTGATTAGTACGCAGTCTCTGTGCTTCTCTATGGGACTACGCGGCCGTACGCCACGCTACGCTCACCTCAAGTGCAGGTCCGTAAGGGTGCGTTTTTCCTGGCTCGGACTCAGACCGGATCCATCCTGTCGGCGTCTGATGATTGCAAGGTGTATGGGCACCTTAAGGATCCTTGAGTCATCACGTCCAATACACAGCGTGTTGGTTGTGAGGACATTGAGGGACGCTGCATCATTGCAGCGGAGAAGGAGACAGGAGGGGGGAGTCCTGTAACAGCCAGCCGGTTGCACGGGTGAGTATAAATTTGTATTTTAGACCTTAGACCAAAACGAGCATCTAACCCATGCAGTGCAAGGCTAAACTACAAATCCCATCATGCTTCTGCCTCTGGGAGTCATGCCTGTGGCTTGCAATGCCTTATGGAGAGCTGAGGTTGCCTACCCCTCGTCTAGGGTTTAAAATAACAAAGATATATTTACCCAAACCTCGGTCTTGCCTGGCTGTTAGAACGGTCCCTACAGCCTATCCCCCCCTCTGCTCTAGTGATGGAATATCCCTCAGTGTTCACGTCTAATACACTGTGTAGTGGATATGATGACTCAAGGATCCTTAGACTGCTGGACGGGAGAAAGGCTACAGGGACCTGTCTAGCAGCCATGTGGGACCGAAGTTCAAGGGAGTTATACCTCTGTTATTTTAGAGTCCTAGACCAAAATGAGCACTTAACCCTTGCAGTGTGGGGGTAGCCTCACTGCCAGTGCTAAGTTTACTCTGCCCGGAGTTCTCCTGTAAAGTGTAACTGCTCACTTAATATACCCCTTGTCAAACTCTTCCAAGTTGGGGCACACATGTGCTGTACACCATTTATTCCTATGGAGAGTTTGTAGTAATACCAGTAATGAATGAAAAGCAGACTCACTTTGTGGCTGCACATACAGGACCAATCATTATAATATAATAGGCATGGAGCCCTGAAACCCCCAAATGTTCTCGTATCCAATTACTGAGGTGGCGGCTGGACGACCCATTTCCATGGCTGACTATGAGTCCCAAATGTGACTGGCAGTCTCAGTCACCCAAAGTCAATCTGCTTCCAGTGTATACAAACATATATAAAGGTATATACAGGCGGCACCTCTGGCTCGTCTCTTCCAGTTTCTGGTGACATTTAAACCTTCTTTTGGTTGGTTGGTTTAGGATTTTGGTAATGTCATGTTGAAGTATATTTTAGGAACATACATGGATTAGTCCTGCAACTTCCTTGGGGTCCAGTATCGGGTCACCTGGGTTTTTTTCCCTTTTTTATCTGGTTCTTGCAGCCTTGGTCATGAACAGATGACAGATTTATTTGCACCTTTTATTTGGGGTGGGTAGTTCGGATCATTCATGGGTCTCATAAGGAAGGTTTATACTGGGTGAAGCATGTAACGTTCTGTGCGGCATGGACCTCTATCACATGTGTTTTGTTATACGTAGCACTGCTGGTACTTTCATAGCTGAGTACAAACATACTCTCGAATAGCTTCCTTTATAATAGTGTACGGCCACCTTCTGTACTACAAAATGTGTGTGACTGAGTCTTCTGTTTTTATTACTACTGCAGAAGCTGCTTTAATTCCTAGATAACTATGGAATGTGTCTGAGCCCTCCCAGCAAGTATGAATAAAAGATTGTGCAGGCATGTGATACAGCAAGAAGCAGGAGGTCATTTTGGCAGCTCAGCACTCGGAGAGGAGTTCCCTTTTTCTGCCCAGATAATCCTCACCATCATTTTTTGGCTTTGATAAGAAGTCCAGCCTGAGCTCCTCTGATAACATAGTTTAAGATTCCGTGTTCAATTATGCTGAGGGGTGGGGTCCTGGAATACTATCTGTTCCACCCCCGGACCCTCCAACTTATCAGCTTGTCCATATTGCCATTGAGCAATATTCTTTTAACTGAAACTGTGACCAGGCCTGCAGAGTAGAAGGGAGACGTGTTTGGAAGTGTGCGGTGTCCCATACAAGGGTTGTGTGCTTAAAATGGAACATTGCAATACTGAGGTAAATTTACCAATTCAAATCATTGTGTAATAAGTAATGTTTAGCAAAGTAAGTGGCAATATACTGCTTTTAATTTTCAGAATTAGTTTTAACTTCACTGCAGCATGTGTTTTTTTTAACCAGAAATAACCATATTGAACAGGAATTTTAAATATTAAGAACATTTACACTTGACTGTAGTCAGCAAATGCAGTTTTATTAAGGGAAGGGCAAACACAAAGTCTCTTTCCATCAACAGGGTAGACTTCCCCTGTTACACAAGACAGCTTCCAGCAGCAAAATAAAAGACAGTCTTTTGTTCACAAAAGAGCCAATATTCTCATCATAATCCGATTTTCTTCAGCATATACCATATGAAGGGCAAACACAAAGTCTCTTTCCATCAACAGGGTAGACTTCCCCTGTTACACAAGACAGCTTCCAGCAGCAAAATAAGACAGTCTTTTGTTCACAAAAGAGCCAATATTCTCATAATAATCCGATTTTCTTCAGCATATACCATCCTCAGTTTTGCTCAGTAGCTTTCCTCAGCTCCAAGCACACCTCTGGGTGATACTCACACTGGTCACCCCTTGTGAGCACTCCACACTGCTCTCTCAGTAGTGTGTCCAACGGGTCCCTTGGGTCACCGACCTTCCTGACGTCTCTCCTCCCCTGGCTGTTCCACGTGCGTCCAGCACGCACCCGAGTCTGCCTGGGTCCGTGTGCCTCCTGCACACACAACTCCCCTGAGCTCTGGTCCAGACTCCTAATAAGGCCGCTCTCAGCCACCTGATCCACCTATACTGGTCAACACCTGGCCCTGGGACTAGATAGAGATTCCATCCCACTATGGTCCAGAAAAAAAATGAAAAGCTAGTTCCTCCTCTGCAAAGGTATTCACATGCTGGAACCTCTCAGCCCCTCTAACTGAGTGTTCTTGGGGACTGTGTTGCCAAATTACATTGTGGCATTGCCACACACTTTTACAATATATATATTTATAAGGATGACGTGCTCCCAATATAAACTTTTTTGGCCCCTATTCTGCTTTGGGGATCAGTTTTGAAAATGACGTCTTCCAGTCTAATCTTCTAACTTTTGTATTTGTAGTATGATCCTGGACATAGGGAACATGTCATCAGAGTGGGAACAAGGAAAAGTCAGGTAAGCCGACCTTCATTTCAATAGAATGTATTTGACACTTTTCCTACATGTCACTTGTAGCTATGTGCAGGAGGCTAACTTGTCTATTCTTGGTCAACATGTGATATATATCTTTCTACAGCTAGCACGCATCCAGACTGACAGCGTGGTGGAAATGCTGAGCCAGAAGTTCCCTGATGTTCATTTTGATATTGGTGAGTGCATTTAGCTTATCAATTACTCTGCTGGTACATTGTTCACAAAAACTATGCAGAGCATGTATGTCCTTGTCTAACGAGTTGTACTTGCATACATTTTCCATACAACAGATTAGCATGCATACGCTCCGTGATCATCTGTTTTGGGATTTTGGATCTAGTTGTTTAATGGTCTTATATTATTCTCTGCTTTTGCTCCACTTGTATCCCATCCCATCGTAAGAGGGAAAAACCATATCCACACATCTCTTCTATGCCTGCACTGTTACTGTCACATTTTGTTTTCTAGTTGCAATGTCTACAACAGGGGATAAAATTCTGGATACTGCATTATCAAAGGTTGGTTTTGTGAAAACGATTAACCATGGTGTCTGTAACATGTAGTTTTGTGTTAGTATGGCTACTTTGGTTTTTTTCTGGAAAGTCTGAATTTTAGCTCCTTAAGTATTCTGTTAAAATCAGTGATTGCTGTATCTTCACCTTTGCAGATAGGAGAGAAGAGCCTGTTTACAAAGGAGCTGGAGAATGCCCTGGAGAAAAATGAGTAAGTGGGGAAGTAGCCTGGTTGCCCCAAACAGAAGCAGCATGTGTTACATTCATTGTAGACCTATGGACAAATGTATCATACTACAGAATGTGTGCTAACTATAGTAGCCACAAATTTTCCCTGCCTTGTACCATAAAACTAATGCACAAATATGTAGTGATTTCATTATGGCCAAGAAATTGCCTACAAGATTTGCTTTGGTGTGAATGGCGGTAGGTGGTGGTGCCCATTATTACAGTAGAGAGGTTGGCAGTTGCATAAACCACAATAGAGATTATGCAGAAAGCATGTATTGCTGACGGGGTAAAGAATGGAGCTTAAATTGTAGTTCTACGTTTGCTGCCAAGTTTGAGAAACCCCCATTATATGTTTACGCGTTCCCATTCACACAGCATGCCTAAAAATGTTTTTTTAAATAAGTCTTACCGTTCTAGCTGTTTGTTTGGAGCAGAAATAGACATAGGATCGGGATTGTATATATTTCATGAACATATAATGCATTGAGACATTTAACCCTTTGTTAGGACACACAGTCCTGCTCATCTAATTTACAAGTGATAATGGAGATCTGCCAGAACAGTACAGACAGGATTAATTATGGCAGGATTTTTCAGTCCTGGAGTTTCCTGAAAGGAGCATCTTAAAGTTTTGCTATGTGAATGGGAAGATGTAATAAATATAAAGTAGGTGTTTTCCCACTTTGGCTGCAGTAGTGGAAATCCACTTTAATGTTTCAAGGAATAAAGGAAAGGGTAACAGTGGTAAGGGTTGGGCAGGGACTGTGTTTCTTTGCTACAGGGATGATGGCAGTAAGAATTCATGGAAACCTGTGATGTGTTGTTTTTGCTGACTTTCTTATGAAAATGTTAGTTGCCTGGAATGTAGCCAGTGAAGTAAGGGCATCTGATCTGTGTAGTTATCTATAGTAATTTCACCATATGTAATATTTTTTCAAGCTACTCTGTTGCAAAACGCAAAAGAAAAATCCATTAAATAAATGAGACCTCGAAAAAGATGATGAGTAATAGCTGCCCTACCACCAAATGCTTCTGATCATTGCGCCCCTGCAGAGCTATGCTGGTCAAAGAATGTTAAGCATCTAACATACTCCCGAGAGTTTTGGATGTCTAGCTCCCCATGGCACACTATGGTTCTCCCTGGCAGCCACAACTGAAAAGTTATTGTCAAAGTAAGAGAGTCTCTTAAAGTTTACCAACAGATCCACTTGTACTCACTGTTGCTGTGCTGCACCCCCTACTGCCCTGTTCCTTTGTCAGAGATGGGATACAAACCCTGTTTAAGCTATGTGTTGAAGCTTAGGGAGAGTTGATGCCTTCCTCATGTGACAGTGTTTGCCCCTGATGATTGGCTGCTCTTGCCTGAGCAATGCATCCTGAGGGAGGACACATTCTCCCCCCATACCCTGAAACGCCAGCTGTTTTGCAAGAGCTCAGATAAAGTGGCAAGGGAGAATGGCAAAGGTAGGTAAAGTGGGTCAGAAGGGGTGAGCTTCCAGGAGACTCTGTCACTTTGCCCCTCTTTAAATGAAAACATTCGGCCAACTTGGATGCACCCACTCTATTACCCCACGCCAAGCTATATCCAAATCGCATTATGTTACATAGGAACCCCAAAAAAAGGCAGTCCAAAGGGCTGATCACCAGTTTTGTCTGTGATCTCTCTGTGCGGGGGCAGCCATCTAGGTAGAGTCAGAGCTTTGCTTCCTCATATCAGAGCTTCCAGCAAAGTGAACATTTTTCAGGTTGCTGATTATGTACAATTAACATTTCAAAATGTTCCCTAAAACATAGCAGATCTTATCCTTTTAAGTTCAGGTCTACTTTAAATTACATTGTCAGAGTTGCTTTTTAGCTGCTCAAAAAGAATTTGCATTCTTACATCAGTAATCCTTTAATACACAAAAATCAATGTGTTATTTCCCAATTCATTTTAAAAACAGTTCATATACTATATTCATTTTCTTTATCTCTCTATCCCTATCATTCTCTCCCCTGTATATAGGAATGTCATAGTGGAGCATCACCATTTGTAATGTGCAGTTTTGTTTTTCTTCTTTAGGGTTGACCTTGTGGTTCATTCGCTGAAGGATTTGCCAACAACATTACCTCCTGGGTTCACTATTGGAGCTGTATGCAAGTGAGTTTTTTTTCTACTAATCTAACTTGGTAGAAATAATTTGCTATATTGTTACTATAGTAACCGAGGAGGTTCCCTTTTTTTTTTTCTTTCAGGCGTGAAAATCCATTTGATGCAGTTGTATTTCATCCTAAACATGCTGGGGCTAAGTTAAAAAGTTTGTCCGAGAACAGGTAAAGTTCTTTGTTGTATGGCGACTTAATTGCCAACGTTGTCACTTTAGGGGGAGTCCTTTTAAGAAAACAAGCAAAGTATGAAGTATAGTTACCAATAGCAACCAGTCAACAATCATATTTTTTCTAATTCTAAACAGATAAAAAGGTAAAATCTGGTTGTTTAGTTATTTAATACCTTTTGTCTTCATGGTGACTTTCTAGACCCTGCTAGATGTGTTCATTATAAGCTGCATATGCTCTCTGACTTCTCTCTGGGCTAGCTTTTGACTAGGGATGCACATATACTTTTCGAGTACCGGTGCCGATACTTGTCATTTTCACGGAACTACCAGGGTTGCAGTGGTTGCAGCTGGGACCTGGCTCTGGCACGCCACCACTGCCCTGAAATCATTAGTCTGTATTGTTTTAGAAAAACTGTCACATGACAATAAACAAAAATGTATCAGTACTCATAAGTACTTGGGCAAATATCAGTACTCGTACTCGCAAAACTGGTATCTGTGCATCCTTTTATTTATATTTATAAAAACAAAATCATACATTAAAACTGAGATGTACAAATCCCATTAGCTCCGTGTGCTCCTTACAAATGACAGCGGCCTCCTAACTTTTGAATTTTTCTCTAGTCTGGTCTTGGAGCTCAAAAAGTATTGGTACTGTGGAAATGTATACAGCACTGTTCGACCACAGTTCTACCATTGCAACAATTGGCTAAGGGGCGGCAGCATATCAACTCTTGCGGTTTTACCACCCCCATGCCGCCTGCGTGAATGAGGCCTAAGGGTAGAAGTCAATGTAAAAAGCTCTGATTGTGTACAGGGGTGTAGACATTTTAAAAAAAACGACTTGTCCAAGGGCTAAAGCGGGGGCCAAATCTACTTATCCTTCATTTAATTTTATTCCTATCACATAGGGATTTAAAATCCTCTAAGTGATAGTTTGGAGGTGACAGGTTCTCTTTATAGAACCTGCCCTCCAACACAGAACTGATGTTCTGTGTAGTTCCTGACAGCTGAGACAGGTGGCGTTGTGATCACAGCGCCACGGTCTCAGTGATAACACAGAGAAAACCACGGGGGGCGGGGGGCGGTGTGGACAGATTTGCCGCTTCTCGTTTCATACAAGTGATCAGATCACTTGAAAACGAGCAGCGGCTCCACACTGTACACTTAGCTCTGCTTGTCCGGAGCGGGGCTACAAAAAAACTACTCGCCGGGCACCGAAACTGCATGTCCCGGGCAATAGGAATTCCACACCCCTGGTGTATTAGAACTAGAAGATCTCACCTAGGCATAAATTCTCAATACTATATCATGATTATTTTTATGCTCTGAATTGAAATTGTTTCACCCAGGGGTGTAAGGGCTCATTCATATAGATGATACTTCTGCACCCTGAAGTTACAGGTGTTGCATACAGCCATGGACAATCAATGACAGGCTGCGGCTGTACACATATACCTGCACATCCCAGCATTTGTATGCCTACAGGGACAGATGAGTGGCCTTGGACGCAGACAGTTTGGGCCCAGGGCCGATAATATGCAATGCATCCCTGTACAGATGTAAGTGCTTGGATGCTCAAGTATATGCATATAGCAGCAGCCTGTCATTATTTTGTACAGGCTGCTGCCTGCGGCTATAGACAACAACTGGTCACTCCTGGGCACAAAGGTATCAGACATTGATTACACTATACAGCCATTCATGCCCGTGTGAGATAGCCCCAAGTTGAATGTGTGTTCCAAAACCAGTGTTAAATATATAGGCTAGGTGCCTAATGCAGCAAATCACACTATTGCATGTGGTGGTGCACATACTTTGTTTTGTAAGACAGTGAGCCACGAGCACAGTAGCGTGTTACCATGCATTGTGATACGCTGCAACACACATCCATTGACAAGGTGCGTTGGGGTGTCATTAGCATGAATGGCACTGCAGCACACCAACGTGCAACGCGTGTTTTTGTGTGTTACCACAGTAACAGTATGAACCCAGCCTTCGTTTTTTTCTTCTTCACTCTCTTACTATCTTTACACCATTATGCCAATACAAAGGGTTTGTGGTTACATGGTTTATTGGATCCTTTTATGTGATTTCTCTTTTTTGTTACAGTGTAATCGGAACAAGCTCTCTTCGTAGAGCAGCTCAGTTGAAGAAGATGTTCCCTCATTTAGTTTTCAAAGATATTGTATCCTTGTTAAATGCATGTAGTTATTTTATCATAATGTCTTTCAATCACTATATCTATTCTTTTGTATTCCTGATATACAAGGGTTGGTAAAATTTCCTTGACAACTGGTGGTAACCATGAACAGAGCAACCTGCTGTTAAATGGAACGCTACCCAATAATGTGATTCACCGATGGGATTTCCTGTCCATCTTTAAGGAGAGTTCAGAAATAATGGTGGAATCTTGGGGGACAGCTAAGTGTGTGTGGGCATAATGAAATATTCAGAACATTGCTGTAATAACACACATTTCCCCATGGTACTGCAAGTTGTTCCTGCCTGGAATCCAGTAGGCTCCTAATTTCCTGTACTGAGTTTCCAGCACTGGTTCTGCTGCATGGAAATTCCAAACTGTGTTGTCAGCCCTACTTAAAGTGATATTAAAGGCAAAACATTTTTTCCCTCCCCCCCCCCATGTAAATGTTAGCACTTACCTTAAATGATGTTCTTTGCATTCCAGTGGGGGGGGGAAACCGTTTTTGTTTTAGATATGTTTAAAGCCCAAAATCAATTTTTCAGCATGTTTGGCGCAGTGCCTTACTGTGTACAGTTTTCTGAAGCAATTGTTTTTTTTTGTTTTTTTTTTAATGCATTGCAAACTTCTTACCTGTAGATCTTGTTTCCCTTTAGTTGGCTGTTGGGTTGTCTGTTAAAGTGGACCTTTACCCTCTTTTACTAGAAATCACAGCAGTATGCAGCTCTACATGCTGATATTAAGTTTATCTTTCATACATTAGTTAAATAAACATATTTGTCTTTTATTGACAAATATTGTTTTTCTACTTCCTGGTCCTCTTAGGTATCAGTGATGTAGCCCATGCCTAAGAGATGCATCTTGCAAAGCTTACATCACAGTGCGTTGCTGGGAAATCTTATCTGTAAAATATCGCGAGATCTCAGGCAGAGGCATTTTTTCCCCTGAGATAATGTACATGGTCACATGTCCTAGTCACATGTGCCAGAGTTCCAGGAAGTAAAGGGAGATACATTCATCTGCCCTTAGTAAAAATGGCCACTGTGAGGAATAATAGGGTGGAAAAGAGATATAAGGGATGCAAAGAATACAAAGCCGGCAATTATCTAGCAGTATGTGTTTGTAGATTGTCATTACTGAACATTTCTAAAGTTGCCTTTGTTGTCATTTTTAAGATATGGGTAAAGTTCCTCTATAAGTCTATTAGATGGGCAGCCCAATAGCCAATTGAAGAAGTGCACACGGCAGGCTGACAATACTGCTAATAATTTGCAGAGGTGCTTAGCGTTATTCTCCTGTAACAGAAATGGGTTTTACTATCAGGATCTTTAGTTGAGAAGCTTTGCAACCCATTCAAAAAGAAAAAGAACCATATTGAAAAATAGATTTTAGGTCAACATATACGCTTTAACCGCAGTCATGGGCTTATACTCTATGTTCATGCACCAGCTTTTTGTTGGTTTCTTCTTTTTGTTTTTAGTTGGGGGAGAAAAGAGGATTCTGTTTTTAATTTAGCAATTTGTTTACAATCCTTAACTGACTTTTTCTAAGCGAGGTAACTTAAATACGCGCTTGAAGAAACTGGATGAACAGGACCATTTCAGTGCCATCATTCTAGCAGCTGCTGGTTTGCGCCGTATGGGCTGGGACAGCCGTATCGGTCAGGTAAGAAGAAGATTGGTATATTAGCACTATGTAAAGCTCTCTGGAGCCTACGGTATAGAAAACTAGGAAATAACTGGTGGTGGCGTGGAAGAATGTAGCTTTGTATAATGATTTTATGATTTGATAATCAAATAAGGCTTTTTTTTTTGTTAATGAAGAATGTTGTAAATGTTCCTTCTTGTACAGTTACAGTCTTATTTATTGGCAAATACCTGAGTGGTCTTTCCAGTTCCCTTCTCTTCCTGTAACATTATGACCACATCAAGCTGTGTAGTTTACATCACTTAGCTTTATATACAGAGCTACAGGATGCCGTGCCAATTCAGTGCGCCTGTCCTCCCATAGTCAGCTTTGCTCCCACACCTCTCGCCTAGCCCTGCTTTGTATGATTGACTGCAGCTCATGGCGGGCACCTCGCTGTCAAAACTCCAGCTACACATTGCTGCACACAGACAATGCAGATACACCCTCACCCTCAAGAAGAGGGATAGGCAGAGAGACCACAGATTAAAACTGAAAACAAAGGTATACAAACATTTTCATAAAAGGTGTTTATTAGACCATTAGAAAGGGTCTTTTTCTTTCCTAATTTGACTTCACATACACATTATCGTGTAGAGACTGTACAGTATATGGAATGAATATCCATTTAAAGGGAGACCTATAATTGATTTTAATTTAATGTAAAAGAGATATCAATGTTTGTAAAAGTTCTCATGTCTCCACGTTAAAGCCTATTTCCACCTTTAAAAAAAACAAAACATATGCTAGCAATGAACACAGAGTGAACATGAAGCAGAGATATGCAGTTACTGTATATGAACACAGAAACTTACATTTTTTTGTTAGGTTTCCTTTTCATATCCTCATGAAAATGGCCGCCTCTGTGCTCTGCAAGCAGTCTGTGTATATTACAACTGAGCTCTCCCCCCCATTAATTAGTATTCATAGTGGCACTCACCCGGACAGTGTATTGTGTGCAAAGGCAGAGCTGGTGTTTAGTGATCGTGTTACACAGAATCACAGGGAGGGGGCTGCTGTCTACAGCCTGCTTCACAATCCGACCCCGGTGTCAGACTGCATTTCCTGTAGAGAAAATTTTAAGGCCTAATAAATATTTCATAAAAAAATGGGGAAAGTCTGCAATGTGAGCTATGAAAATGTGCAGACATATATATCATCATTGCACCTCTACATTACAACAATATATGGTAATCACTTACAAAGGTGGAAATGGACTTTAAGGTCTAGCTAGTAGGAGTTGTCATAATGCTCTGGTACCATCTTGTCCTCACACCTCCTATACTGGAACCTGTTGTGATCATATCTGTGGCACAGGTGATGGGTTTTAGCGGCATATTCATGGAAATACCTCCCTTCCCTTTTCTCCAGCCAACCAGTGGAGGTATGTAGATGTGTAATGATTGACAGAGCCAATCACTCCCCCTAAGCAACAGAGAGACAGAGTGGGAATGGTTATTTGAATTAAAGCAGTCACATTGCACCAGTGTTGTCACCTGTTCTAAGGGAGAGGTAAGGTTAATTTCTGGCAGGATCACCAGGTATGTATGTTAACCACTTCCCATCCATGGCCGGAGGGGAGTCTTGTAGGAGCGGGAGGGCGTCTTAACCCCTTCATGACTGAGGCCTTTTTTTCATTTTTTGTACCCATGTTATATTCCACATTTTAAGCCTGAAAATTACTTTGCCAGGATCGCTTCTGTTGTAAAGCCGACAGTCGGCTCTACAAGTTTAAACAGAGTCCCGGCGGCAAAAGTCACCGGGAGTCTGTTTAAACAGCCCCGATGCTGGCGACGTACACTGTACGTCGTCAGTCACGAAGGGGTTAAGACGTCCTGCCACTCCCCCTGGTTTGTGCGTGGCGATCAGCGTGCACACGAGTGGGAACTGTTAGCAATGGTGAAGCAGTTCCATGCTTCATCAGCTTCTCTGGGGGTCCCTAGGTGACATTAGGGGTCTTAGAGAGGACCTTCATAAAGAGGACCTGTCATGTGAATTTGCTATCACATAGGGGATTTCTTAGTTCCCTATCTGATAGCAATAAAGTTAACTGTAAAAAAAAAATAAAGAAGCTAAAAAAAAAAGTTACAAAAAAAATGGAAATTAACACCCACCCCCCGCGCAAACATGCGTCGGGTGCGCCTACATGCGAAAACGAAGATTCTGCCTATTGTGCCGCACATGTTACATGAGAGCAATAATTTTAGGGCCATAATCACTGATAACACTAAACTGGTGAGCCGTAAAAGCTTTTAAAGCGTCGCCTATGGCCAATTTAGGGCATGGTCGTTTTCTGCGATTTCGTGGGCGCACGCAATTTTAAAGCTTGACATGTTTGGTGTCTATTGACCCAACGTGACCCCGACTTTTATATTTTACCAAAGAATTGGGGTGATAATAAATGTTTCATAACATTTCATAGGGAAACAGTTTTTTTTTACAAAATTTAGGGTACTTTTTTTGTTATATAGTAAAAAAATAAAACCCCCCAGTGGTGATTAAATACCACCAAAAGAAAGCTCTATCTATCCCCAAAAATGGTATAAAATTAATTTCAGTACAGCGCTGCATGACCGGATAAATGTCAGTCAGAGTACCGCAGCGCTGAATACTGAAAAATGGCCTGGACGGGAAGGGGGTTTAACACCGCGGTCTTCAAGTGGTTAAACAAAAGCCACACAGGGAAATTGCCCATCTATTTGTGTTCTGTAAGATCTATTTGATAATGGAAGCTGACATAGAGTACTTACAGTACAGCTGTTCATCCTGCTTAAATGTATGTTTTTCTTCTCATAGATCCTTTCTCCTGAGGAGTGCCTTTATGCAGTGGGTCAGGTAAGCATTTGCAGACTGGCAGTCTCTTACTGTGTTTTGGTTTGTATCCAGTTTAATTTTGTCATTTAATGGATTTAATGGATGGAAGTATTGAGAGTGTAAAATGTACTCTTCCCCAATAGTTTCAGCCGGTGAGTGACACCACAGCTGTTACACGCCAGCTCTATAGACCGAGAACTGAGCGATCACTCGGCTCACCACTTCTCCCTGCGGAGAGAGGTGACTGACAGGTGACATTGCCGCCCCCTCCCTCTCTCTGTTCTTCCAGCTGTCATTGGAGGGACAGACAGGGGAGGGGATGGGCACAGCTGGCTTTGGCTCTAGAAAGTCAGAGCCAGTTGTCACTTAGGCAGCAGAGTTATACCTGCAGTATTGTCGGGACCTTTCCCCAGCTGCAGCATGGCTCTGCGCTGTCAGCTGATAGCGGGCAGTAGCCCCCTATATGTTGATTTAATAGCCCAAAAAAAAGGTTTGTCCATAGTTCTCTTTGAACGGTTTGTATTAAACATGCAGATATATATCATGTTGTGATCATGTGCATTTCTCTGTAGGGCGCTCTTGCTGTAGAGGTTAGAGCCAAAGACCAGAATATTTTGAACATGGTGTCTGCCCTTCAGGATCCTCAGACTGTTTTACGGTGTATAGCTGAAAGATCTTTCATGAGGCGACTGGTAAGAAAAACACATTAAAGATAACTAAATCAAAAGCTAAAGTGTAATCTGTTGCAATTTACCAGTCTTTTTAGATGTGGTGGATGCATTCATTTTCATTTTCTTTTCATGCGAAGTACATTTTCAGCAAGTACAGAAAATATCTGTTGATCTTGCCAGAAATGCAGAGTCCTTGTCACTTCCTGTGAGATCAAAAGCAATTTTATATTCCTTCTGTAAACTTTTATTCTCCCCACCCACATCTAATGGAGAGAAACAAAAGGCAGACATGTTTGAAGTCCAGCCTGGGCGGCAACCATCGATCCCTCCATATACACCATATTGCCAAAAGTATTGGGACACCCCTCCAAATCATTGGATTCAGGTGTTCTAAGAAATTTCCTTGCTAGTAAATATTCAGCGGTCAACTGTTAGTGGTATTATAACAAAGTGGAAGCAACTGGGAGCAACAGCAACTCAGCCACAAAGTGGTTGGCCACGTAAAATGACAGAGCGGGGTCAGCGCATGCTGAAGCGCACAGTGCGCAGAAGTCGCCAACTGTCTGCAGAGTCAATAGCTACAGACCTCCAAACTTCGTGTGGCCTTCAGATTGGCACAACAACAGTGCGTAGAGAGCTTCATGGAATGGGTTTCCATGGCCGAGCAGCTGCATCCAAGCCTTACATCACCAAGTGCAATGCAAAGTGCCGGATGCAGTGGTGTAAAGCACGCCGCCACTGGACTCTAGAGAAGTGGAGACGTGTTCTCTGGAGTGACCAATCACGCTTCTCTGTCTGGCAATCCGATGGACGTGTCTGGGTTTGGCGGTTGCCAGGAGAACGGTACTTGCCTGACTGCATTGTGCCAAGTGTAAAGTTTGGTGGAGGGGGGATTATGGTGTGGGGTTGTTTTTCAGGGGTTGGGCTTGGCCCCTTAGTTCCAGTGAAGGGAACTCTTAAGGCATCAGCATACCAAGACATTTTGGACAATTTCATGCTCCCAACTTTGTGGGAACAGAGATATAGAGCAAAGGCCTACCTGACTTGGATATACATTGTATTGATTTTTTATGCTCTACAAGTTTAAACAGAGTCCCGGCGGCAAAAGTCACCGGGAGTCTGTTTAAACAGCCCCGATGCTGGCGACGTACACTGTACGTCGTCAGTCACGAAGGGGTTAATCTAAGTAGACTGTCATATGATCAGATTATGGTCAGCTTTAGCTGAAAAAACTGTGGAGAAATGCAATTAATAAAGTGTCTTAGTTTAGAACCACAGCATAAACTTTTTGTTCTAGTTGTGGATAGAGCAGGGATGGGTAAGAACCTCTTAAGATGTTTTTATACCTCATCTGTGAAATGTTACCTTAGTTCTTGTCCTGTAGACAGAACAGGAAGTAAGAGTGAATCCACCTTTTGACAACCATTGGCATTGGTTACCAGGACAGATGGAGAGAGCCCCCACAGGGGACATAGACAGAGGACTAATCCTTCCTGATACCAAAAACTGAAAACAGAAGCTGGAACCAAATGACAAAAGTGCGCAAGATGACTTCTTGGCAATACAAATATGAATAGTACTTAACACCGGAACAATTGTTTTCTTCTAGGAGGGCGGTTGCAGTGTGCCTGTAGCTGTGAGTACAATTCTAAAAGATTCTCAGGTAATCATCTGGTTTTTATGATTGGGAAACCGTATTAAACATTACAATCTATTTTTTCTCTGTGTGTTTGATGATAAGATACTTTGTAAGTGTTTTATTATCTAACATTCAATTTCTGTTCTACAGTTATACCTCACTGGAGCGGTCTACAGCCTTGATGGTTCCGAATGCCTTAAGGAGACAATGCAGAGATGTGTCGTTTTCCAAAATGAGGTGAGGGTAGGGATAAACAAATACAATGTTTCATTAATAAACACAAATTATGTATAAAAAAAGAAACTTCAGTCAAGGGAGAAAATAATGAACACACTTATGAAAAGGGATTATTTGAAATAATTGGGGAAAAACATATATTTTAATATTGGTTTTATTTGTTTATGAATATTTATTTTTTACATTTCTATCCAGCAGTTTGACTATTAAAGTGACACTAAACTCAGGAGTTAAATATTAAAAATACATTCAAGTACCTTAATTATTAACAAGAATGTATCTCATTTGTGTATCATTGGGCTGTAGATCCTCAAATCATCTCTGAATTGGTGCCGACACTGTCCTTCCTTCTGGAGGGGGGCTACTTTTGTTCCCCGTTCCCCGTTGGTCGTTGGAACATTTTCCACTGAGTGCTGTTGATTCCTGTCCATTTGCTGCTGACTAAAGCACACATATGTTTTGCTTACAGGAAGGTGAATGTCCGGATGATAATGCCCAACATGTGGGTATTACAGCACTTGGAATACCTCATAAAGCTCAGGAAGCTGCAGAATATTTAGGAGCAGATCTGGCGGACCTGTTACTAAGCAAGGGAGCCAAGGAGATCCTAACCGTGGCTAGACAGCTAAATGATGCCAGATAATTCGATAATATCGCTGCAGTTGAAGAATATATGCCTCTTCGGTTTTGGGACATGGATATCCTTAAAAGATGGTGTCGTCTCTGTTTTGCCCAACTTTTTTCTTTTTACCACGCATCACTGTTGTGAGAACGATGAGGCTTTGTATGTGTAGATCTCATCTGGAACTGGCTTATTGTTAGGCCCTTTTAGAATTCTTCCTGGGCAGTGGCTGAGTACAACAGAGGCTATCGTTTTTGAGGTGTCAAGATTGTCTCAAGGCCAAAAAATTTTTTTTTTAACTGTAGAAATATCTAATGTAATTGTTACAACAAAGAAGAATGTTCGGGTCCAACAGTAGTCTTTTTAAACGTGCGCTGCTACTGAGTAGTCTTAAAGTGAAGCTGTCCTTAGGAAAGATTAGATAAATAGGCATGCATAGAACAGCACTAGCCATATAGTGTCCGCCTTCCCCTCCACCCCTGTAATGTGGGTGACCTATAGAAAAGGATTGTATTACCCCATGGGATATGGAGGGCTTTCTAAGCACTGCATTGGATAACAGTTTGTAGTTCCAGCTTTGGAGCACCAATCACACAGACCAGGCGGGTACCATATGGTACTAATACTAGGTTTTGTCATCTTTCCCCAGGACAGGTTCACTTGACACACATTTCTTGTGAATTAGTAATGCATATACTTATTGTGATCAGTTATTAAACTGTATCTGAAAGGTATTGGACCACTTACATTACAAAAGCTGGTGACGTTTTGTATCCGCTGTTTTGTGTAGGTTTTTAGGTTCCAATAACTCAAAACCACCAACCACCCAAAGAATGTATGTTCATATACTTAGTATTATTCTATTTCAAGTTGTGTTTGATGCGTATTGTGATCACAGATTGAAAGTACTGTTTATCATTCCCTTATAGAGGAAGTGCCGACCATGTAGAGAAGTGCTCAGACTTTACTGTGTGCTCTTTTCTGTAGTTTATACTTTCTCCATCAGGTTTCATTAAAGACCAACGTTAGCTAAAAGGGTTTATATTAGGGATGCACAGATACTGGGTTTTCGGTATCGAGAACCGATATATTTTTTTCTGTACTAGCTGATACTGAAAGTCCCATTCAGCAAGCCAGGCGGTGTGTAATGACTCGCCACCCGGCTCCCTGATTAGCCGGGAAGCTGGGCAGCGTGTAAAGACTCGCCACCCAGCTTTCCGATTAGCAGTGAAGCCGTTCCCATGCTTCTCGTCACAAAGTGACGAGAAAGCATGGAGCCGACTTTCTGGCCAATCGGGAAGCTGGGCGCCGTGTAATGACACGGCTTCCTGATTGGCCGGGAGGCCGGCTCCATGCTCCCTCGCCAATCAGGAAGCCGGGCAGCATGTAATGACTCGCTGCCAGCTTCCTGATACCGGAAGTATCGTGCTAGGCATCGGAGCATTTGGGCGAGTACTCACATTGGCACTGATACTAGCGTTGGTGCATCCCTAATTTATATGGTTTGAATAGACTGTCACCATTGGAGGGATTACCAGTCACTTCCTGCCTAAACAGGAAGTGAGGGGAAATCCCCCCAATGGGGACAGGGGCTCCAATTAAATCCTGACAGAGGTTCCATTTCTTCCTCAGTATTTACTGAGCTTTGGGGTTTAACTTATTAAAAATACTTCTTGTGCTCTGTTCATGCATTGAATGCCATTCAAAGAAGAATGAGTTTACATGGAGATGTCCCGTGTCTGTGAGCCCTGTGCTACCTTTACTTGCACATCTGATTGAGGTTGTGAGATAAGCTATGATTATAGTGCCTTGGTGTAATAATTCTTTGGCCCTGCAAATGTAGCAAGAGAAAAGAAAACTATGGGGCTATGTAGTACATTTCTAATAAATACATCTGAATTCCCCAAACTGCGTCATTTTATGTTTTGTTGTTTATCCCAAGAGATGCTGCCCAGTTTTTGTGATCATTCATTGACACTGAAACCTCCCCATGTCCTCTTTCAATTTAGTAGCCCCCCCCTCCCGAACAATTCAAAAACCTCCTTCAGTGTGCCCAAAACTGCACTTATTATTTGGTGTTCTTGATTTTTAGAAGTGACAGCGTACTTGTATCATTAAAATATAATCAATTGGGAAAGTATATCATTTTGACTGGTCAGTGGGAATAAACACTGTAGCAGGAATGATACCCAGAGAAAGGAATAATTGGATCACAACAATGGATCTACACAGGTACTCAATTAACATGAGTGACTAAGTATGGCAAGGAACATACCCAGATAAAGGAAGAGTTGGATCAAATCTACACAGATCCCTCAATAAAGAGGAACTCCAGGGCTACCCCCGCACTGCATGGCCTACTGAGGCAGATGCATGATAGTATTTGTAGTTTCCCCACAGCTGGAGGGCCGCAGTTTGGCTACCCCTGCTCTAGGGGCTCAAATTAAAAAAACAATATATTCACCCAATCCTCAACCCCACCTGACTGCTCGGCCAGTCCCCGCAGCTTCTTCTCCCTGGGCTTCGTTGGTCTAAGCCCCACTGAGAGCATCACATCACCTGCATTAGACGTGAGGACGCCAAGGGACACACTGCAGACGGAGCGGAGGGGGAGAGGATCAGGCGAGTACATCTTCTGTATTCCGGCCCTTAGAGAATAATGAGCAGTTAACCCTTGCAGTGCAGCTGTAGCCCCACTGCAAGGGTTAACTTTTTTCATTCCTGGAGCTCTTCTTTAAAAACAAGAAAACTGATGTTCTAGCGTGCGTCTCTGCAGCAGAAGCCACAACATACATGATCTCAGAACTATGGTAGTGATGGGGAACTTCAAATCACAAAGAGAGGGTTAGAAATGGGAATGTAAACATAATACAAATCTAAAGTGTGTACTGTGGCCTCTATATCGGCACCCTAGTGGTTAGGTGCTGCAATACTCGCTGGTCTCACTGCCTTCCTACCTACTCATCCCCAGGTGATTCACTACCACAGCGCTCCTCATATGGGCCACTGAGACCGTATCTCTGCAGCTGCCTTAGTGATATGGTCACCAATGGCACTAGAACCTCCCCTGTTTCTAGGGCCTTTTAGCTGTTGGTCTATTACCAGGACTTGTTCACACGATGTCCGCACTCCGTCCGGAACAGAACCGTGCACTCCTGCACCCAAAATGCATCCCAATGACTCCCTATGTGTTTTATGGGCTACAGTTCTCACCAGCGCAGTCCGTTCCGGACAGAAAAAATACTGCATGTCACATTTTCTCCAGGCCGGTAATGGACCGGAAACACACGAACGGGTCAAACACAATGAAAATGCACAGAAAACGCATCGCACTGCAGCTAACATGCTGACAGCCCCACTAACTGGAAAACGGTAAAAACGCACAGCACGCACCGCATCTGCAGATCTGGACCAGAAAATGGTGTGAACAAGCCCGTAAAATGCAGGGTGGCTTACCGTCCAGTCTCAGACATTCTCTTAAGGGGTTATTCACAAAGCTGCACGAAGGCAGCCGAGTGAATAACCCAGCCGAACTAAGTTTGGCTATTCACTCCGCCTCAGTACAGCTGCATCTCGGTCAGCCAAACATGCTCTTTATGTTCAGCTGAAGTGCAGAAAGACTTCGACCCAGCCAATCCAACATCTGGATCAGCTGAGCTGAAGCTCCGGCAGCTCACTCGCTGCCGTTCGTCCCTATTCACATAAGGGCATACGGTATTGAATGAATAGCCAAATGCTGCCGAGCAGAGTAGAAAATGTGGGTTATAAAAATATTTTTGAAATGTAAATAGTGAAATTTTAAAAAAAAGTGGGTGGAGCAAGCTGACAGCTAGCTCCATCCAACTGTTTGCTATTGGCCAGCACCTGCCTGAGTCTTCTAGCAGGTCCTGGCCAATGAATAACAACTGCACTGAGCTGGCCTTGACCAGTTATTGTTTAACCACTTCAAGACCAGGTGTTTAGACCCCCCTTCCTGGCCAGGCCATTTTTCAGCGATATGTAACATGTGCGGCGTAATGTAACATTCGCAGCGATATGTAACATGTGCGGCGTAATGGGCGCAATCGTCTTTTTTGCACGTATGCGCCCCCGACACATGTTTGCATGCGTGTATGTATGGGTGCAGACTTTAAAAAATTTGTTTTTTTATTCTTTTTTCAGCGGATCGCTTGTATGGTAACAGGCATTGCTGCCTGTTTTGAAGAAAAAAAACTGCCATTTCCTGCTGGCGAGAGGGCATGTCTGAGCGGACGTCTAAAGACGCCCGCTCAGATCTAGAGAGCTCCGGGCCGGCCGTTTTTCTACTACTGGAGGCAGTTAATGACAGATCCCCAGCCTCAGTCGAGCCAAAGCATATGCCTTTGGCTGCTGTACAGGCTGTTGTGAATAGCCCATACAACAGCCCTTCGGTTTGACTGAACCGAAGGGCTCCGGCGGCCAAAGGATCATTATATATAAAGGATTATATATTATTAGCATTATATATTAGCAGATATTGGGATCTATAGGCTTTCTCATTCTAGCCAATGGAGCCACCCACTGGCCCCGCGGCAACAAATGACACGGCCAGTGCAAAGGGAATGCAATATTGTCTGAAAGTTTTATTTTAACTTAAACCTGAACTCCAGACTTACCTTTTGTTTCCCCCTCACTTGTAGCAAGTCCTCTTCTGTGATGAAATTTAAATTCCCTGTAAACTCGCATCTCCACAATATAACCCTTTACACCCCCATTAACGGTTTGGAAACGCGCTAAACATAAAATGCCTTTTAATACAAGTTCACACTAGTGGCGTCTGCACAGTACGAAAACACGTGTCCTGCAAAAAAGTTGTAGCGCGATTTTCTGGCCGTGCAGCATCTGCGCATGTTAGTACTGTGCAGAAAATGCTACCGCTAGCTATGTGTGAATGGAGCCTGAAGCTGCAGCAGCTATCTCTTAAAGTGACATTAAACCCTCAGATTTTTTTTTTAACATAAACCAATACTGTAATCCATGGTTGTTTCCCTTCTCTTTGCTGCTCTTCCTTTTAAATCCTCATGTCTTCTCATGCTTGGGGAGAAGTTCCCTTTTCAGCTCAGGGCCTCTTCCTGTAGTGCTGGCTCAGGTTACAAACCTATACACAGACACCATGTATCCATTTATGAGACAAGGCAGTCTGCTGCAAAACAGAAGTTCTGCCCAGCATGAGAACAGATACAGATTTAAAAGGAAGAGCAGCAAACAGAAGGGAAACTACCATGGATTACAGTTAGGCACACATTACAGTATTGTTTTAGGTTAAAAAATCTGAGGGTTTAATGTCACTTTAAGCCCACCTTCATTATGCCTATGTGATTTGTGTTCATGCTGCCATCACTGATGTTCAATTGTTCATGCAATTAGGTCCCTTTCACAGGGGGCTGATCAGAGCAGTATGGAGCCAATGCCACCTCTATGACATTGTGTCTGTCCATGTTTATTCCTCCATTGCAACTGGAATTAATGGGTCCCCATGCCCATCTATGGGGAGTTGGATGTAAATTGACATGTGTCTACACAAGATTACCCCCATTTCGGCAAAACGGATGGGTGTGTGGAATGATCACTGGTAGACAAAGTGCAATAAAAGTATTGTATTCCCCATGCCACCACAAACGTGTCCATGTCTGAAATATCTAATCATAGGCAGTAACCTGATCAATCCCCCAACACCCCCCCCCCCCCCTTTATTCTCCTTATTTTCCCTACCTACTCCTTGCCTTATCCCAAACATTCCCTACCCGCTCCACCCCAATTCTTTTTCTCACCACCTCCTAAACACTTGTTCATACATACTCCCCCAACCTAATAGTTCCAAAAATAAGGACACGTTTTCCACATTGTAATCTTATAACATTTTGCTTTCAAGATTATGTTACATTCTAACTTATTAAATGTGCAACTCGGAGAATAAAGTATACATTGTAGCAGCAACAAGTGTTATGACCCTTCCGTTCAGTCTAGATCTGCTCCACGTGTATGGTGACCCTACCATGCCCCGTACACACTGCACTGGGGGTATTCAGCTCTTTCTAGAATACTTGGTGGCCCTTAAAAGGGCCTTTGTGTTCAGTAAAGGGGTCAGAGTTCGGGAAGGGTTCAGTACTCCTGAGACTGCTGGGAGCTCTTCTTGCCGGAGGATTTCCCCGAGGTGGATTTCGTGGAGGTGACGGCCGCTCCTGAACTCTTCTTGGGCAGCAGCACTGCCTGGATGTTGGGAAGAACACCTCCCTGGGCGATGGTCACTCCGCCCAGCAGCTTGTTCAGCTCCTCGTCGTTGCGGACAGCTAGCTGTAGATGGCGGGGGATGATGCGGGTCTTCTTGTTGTCTCGGGCGGCGTTACCTGCCAGCTCCAGAATCTCAGCAGTCAAGTACTCCAGCACGGCGGCTAAGTACACCGGAGCGCCAGCGCCCACACGCTGAGCGTAATTCCCCTTCCGAAGCAGACGGTGAACTCTGCCAACAGGGAACTGCAGGCCGGCTCTGGAGGAGCGTGACTTGGCCTTCGCCTTGGTCTTACCGGTGGTCTTTCCTCTTCCGGACATCTCTGTTGATTTTCTCTTACGGTGTAGATAGACGAATAAAAGGTACGCGGTCGCAGGACGCTTTCTTATAGGGTCAGGAGCTCAACTCTCATTGGTCAGATTTGAGCGGGCTTGATTATCTTTTGTAGGCTGTGTGTCACATTACTCCTTGATTGGCTGTGTTTCCCAGCCGGTATGTAAAGGGATCTATTTAACCAATCAGTGAAAAGCGCGGGCTAATTCAAATGCTTGAACGAGGAGCCCGCGCTGTGCACTCATTGGTTAGAAACCTTACCAGAGAACCGAAAGGGAATGTGAATCGTGATCTCATTACTAGCGTGTGGGCGGCGCGCCTTCTGTCAGCTTCCTATTAATAAAGCAACTCGTCTCTAATTCATTTTCAAATACATACAGTGCACGGCTTGCTGCTCTAAAACACGGGGGAGATTCATAAATCCTAGCATGCCTTAGCAGGGGCATTGGCGGAACCTACTGTACCGCACGTGCGGTACTTATTGCAATCAATGGGCGATGTGCTGCAAAAAAAAAACGGCGCACAAAAGTGACACACATTCCGGAACGCCAAGTTGTGAATGGGGTCCTCTAGTTGTGTTATGTAAAACAAATGGCTGAGGGCTGTTAGAGACTGTTCTCCATAAAAAATAATGCAGCAGTAAATATAGCTAGTACACAACATAATGGGGGATTTATCAAAATTGGAGCCTAAACAGTAAGTCCACTTTCTCACAAAATGTGAACAAATGTACCTTACCCAACCAAGAGCTCAATCTGTACCTTTGACTTGCTAAAATGCACGTCCCATTTGTCAGCTGGTTCCAGTCAAAGGTACATAGGGGTGGGGAGAGGTGTTAGATTGGGGTGGGTAAGTTAACTTGCACACATTTTCTGAGAAAGTGGACTTACCATTTAACTGAAGATAGAAGCTGACTGGTTTCTATGGGCAATTGCTCCAGATTCTGTCTGCTAATTGTTATACTTTATCAATAAATTTGGACCTGGTAGTATAAAACCCAATTGAACCCTTGGGTTAAAGAGGAACTTCACCCTGCCTAGCTAAAATGTCATTTTAAATCCCTAATAAATTTCCAGTATGATATCGAATAAAAAACATACTTACTAGAACATGGCATCCAAGCTTGTCTTCATTGCAGCTGAAGATCCCCTTGTACCACTCTGCTCCCGGGTCGCCATCTTGAAACGAAATCCCGAGCATCTGCAGACATGCCATGGATCTCTGTCAGGTCCCAGGGAGATAGGCCCATGGCGTGTCTGCCCTGTTCTATAGACTGGCAGAGGTCTGTGGCGGTCTGCGCATGCATGTGGGATTTTGCACATTGGTAGACATGCTGCAAGTCTCTGTCAGGTCTATGGGATCTGGCCGACCAGCAGGATGTCTGCACATGAGCAAAACGTCTGCCTAGGCGAGGACTCGGGAAGTGGAACCCTAAAAGATACAAAAATAATAACCTGTGTAGGAGGGAGAGGGGTGAAGCTCAGCTTGAAGACCTCACTTAGCTGGGCAGATGGGGGTAAAGTCTGCTAAGCATCATATCTTGGATGCAGTAGCACTCTGTTCTATGGTCACAATCACACTGGGTGATTAGCTGTGTCCAGTTTGTATGGAGCAAATACCGCCGCCAATGGACCCAAACTGTCTGCGTCCAGAGCTGGTCAAAGAGCTCATACGCGTGGTTACATTCGAACGGCGATGGCCATTGGCTTGTACAGGGTATAAATCTAGCCACAGCCATGGCTGTACAAAAGTGCAAATTGGGCCAGTTTCTCTGATTCTTAAAGCTATCCACCCCCCTAAATAAAGGGCTAAACCAGCTGAATACTTTGCAGGAGGTGCAACAAAACAAAAGGTGTTCAGTGTCTTACAGTTCATTTTCTGTCTAGAGAACTCCGAGTAGAAAAACCTGTCCGCTGCCAGCAGCTGCAGAGTCCTACTCTTCATCTGGAAGCAGTGGTCTTTCTGCAGAGATCCAATACACTCCCTGCTGAGCGAGACCTGTAGCTCTGCATTCAAAGCTCGTGCTCCCTGCTTTTTGGAGCACACTAGCTGTTACTGAGTAGGAGGCGTGTTGGACCTCTGGAGGGAGACCACTGCTTCCATACAGAAAGCAAGGGTCCCACTCTACAGCTGCTGTTTAGAGTGCTTGCTTTTGGAAAAAAAAGACCAACCCCTTTCTCTCACAGCTAGGGCAGAGAGTACTACTGAACTGAACGTGATTATGTGAGCACTGGTCATTGTACCAGTAAGGACCACTGTCATGGGAGAAGAGGAAGGACCCATGGTGGAAACTGGAAAGAGAAATGCTGGGGAGGGCAGGAGATGGTCACAGAGGTGAATGCAGGCATCAGGCACTCCTGAAAGTGTGTTGGGTGTGAAGCTACGTCAGACATCTTTCATCTACAACAGACCAAAGATCCCATGTATAGGTGCTGGGACATGAAAGTAGAAGAGCTCTTCGATACTGAATCTTTTTGCTTTCATTTTTTATTTCAGCAACAGAGTCTTTAGGAGAAGACGTATTGGGGAAACATTACATATACAAGAACAAAAAACAAACAAACATTGTTCTGACAGTAATGAGATTTGCCAGGAAAAAAAAAAACCCATAATACAGATTAATATAGAACATAAATTCCACGATTCGCTGCGCCTACATCTCACAAGATGACAATGCTGCAGAGCAGGATCTTCAGCATTCTCTGAAGGGCTCATTTTGATGAAAGGTCTTCTTTAAAGTGACACTAAACTCAGGAGTGAAATCTTAAAAATACATTCAAGTACCTTAGCTATTAACAAAAATGTATCTTATTGTGTATCACTCGGCTGTAGATCCTCAAATCATCTCTGAATTGGTGCTGACACTTTACTTCTGGAGGGTGGCTACTTTTGTTTCCGTGGTCCCTGTGTGTGTTGTAAAGTAGCCACCGCTCCAAGCTCACTCCTGTGATAGACTATAACTTCAATACAAACTAGCTATCAGAGGGGTGAGTTTAGAGTGGTGGCTACTTTACAACACACACAGGGACCACGGAAACAAAAGTAGCCACCCTCCAGAAGTAAAGTGTCAGCACCAATTCAGAGATGATTTGAGGATCAACAGCTGAGTGATACACAAATAAGGAACATTTTTGTTAATAGTTAAAGTGACATTAAAGGCAAAGAGTTTTTTCCCTCCCCCCAATGTTAATTAAAGCGCTTACCTTAAATGATGTCTCTAAGGCTGGGTTCACACCTAGGCGTATTGAATATGCGCGTTTGTCGTGCAGTTCGCGTCGCACGTTTTTACCGCGATTCGCGGTAAAAAAAAAACGCTCAACAAACGCGCGTTTCCGTAGGCTACTTGGCTGTATCCCAATGGAAACGCGAGACCAAAACGCCCCAAAGAAGTACATGTACTTCTTTGGGCGTAGGCCGTTTTGTATCGCGTTCGGATGGGCGGAAATACGGCAAGGTGTGAACCATACCCATAGAAAACAATGGGATTTTCAAGTTTGTACGTTTTGTAGAGCGTTCATAGAGCATTGAACGCGCGACAAAACGTAAAGGTGTGAACAGGGCCTTAATCCAATCTTCCTCTTCTTTCCTGTCCCTTTCAGCCTTCTCTCCAGCGCTGCGGGTCTCCGATCCAGCGCTGACTCCTCTGTCCTTGCTGGCACTTCCTGTCCCACGGAGTCTGCATGCATGTTCACGCGTCCATATACTTACCTTGTGTCTCTGCTCATCTCACGGCCGAAAATCCAAACTGCGCATGCGCCCCCCCCAAGTTGCTTTGCGGCCGCTTGAGAATTTTCAGATTTTCGGACTGGAGCGCGCAGGAAGACACAGGTAAGTATTAACCTCTGATTAACCTCTGTTAAAGCGTTTTTGTTTTTTTTACTTTTTGCATATATCTACTGCTTGCTAGCAGTAGATATATGTACAAAAACGTGAGGGTTTAGAAACCCTTTAAGGCACCTGATTGCATTTAAACTCCTGAGTTTAGTGTCACTTAATAATGTTGGAGATAAAGTGCTTGTCAGAAATGCTATTCACTGACTCCCAGCCAGGAACACACCGAAAACTACCAATACCAGACTCCATCACCCGAAAACAAGTATATTTTAAATATTCTAATTTCAGTTCCTGGAAGGGCAAAATAAAAAAACCCCGATATTAGGCCGCATTCACACCTAGGCATCAGAGTTCTCGCGCATATTAGCGCCTTTTCATCTTGCATGTGTAGCACCCTCTGCTACGTCGCTAATAAATTTAGTGTTATATCTGAACTGTGATCAGTCTGGATGCTGAGTTCTGTAGGTTTCCCCGGGTCTGGTGGACTGATTGTTTCCCCCTGTTGCTGGGTTGGGGCCTCAGCATACAGTGAGGGAGGATCCATCCTCAGACTGTGAATATGCATCAGACTGACCAATCCCTGAGCATGCTCACTCAGAGGTATGGCTGGAGGAAGTTGATAAATGTTTGGGGACACCTTCCAGAACTCTCTCTCTCCCGTGGGGCCTCTCCCTGGGAGGAGGTCTGTGTGCTACAGGATGGTTGGTCTAGGCCTTAGCATGTGGCTGATGCTGAGGGCCCAGACCTAAAATGCTACTGAAAGGAAACCTGGGCTGGAGGAAGAATCTTCTTACTAAAAAGTGTCACAGAGGTGCTGGGGAGAGCTACCGTCTGGACCCTGTACGAGATCCCTCATCCTACTCTACGTCACTATACAGAAGAGAAACCAGTTGGTGCACTACGAGTCCTGTGACAGTTCTCTCTCAAAGTCCTGGACTATTCTTGGCTGTTCTCATATTACTGGTCGCTCTCACAGGACCGTTGTGCTACTGTTACAAGATGTTGCTAAGGGTGAAGACACAGTTCTCTAATTTATTACTCGGGTATCCTGCAACCCTAGCCCTCTCTCCTAGTCGCTACTGTGCAATAAAGGCTAAAAAGACCCTACGACTCAAGCCTGTTCTATTCTGGAGTGCCAGTGTTGCTGGAGCTGAGAAAAAGGGCTGGTGGCTGGCAAAACAGGTATGAGAGTCCCTAGCTCATATCCAATGGCTCCTCCAGGAGTGAGCACTACACATGTTTAGCGCATTTTGCACAATTTTGCGTGCATTAAACACGTGCACATGAAGATGTGCACTTTAGCTGCCAGATTGGGAGACATTGCGGTCACTGGACAAATGCGCGCAAAAACATGCACATAAAATGTGCAAACACTTGAAGTCAATGGGGACAAACGCTGTAATCTACCAAAAAGAAGCTCATGTACTTTTTCCAGCATTCAGCGTTTTTGACAGCTTAGGACAAAACTCTCAGGCGTGAACAGGGGCCATAGAAATGAATGGGATTTCTTGTGTTGAGAGTTTTATCACGCTGATCTTTCAGCGTCAGAACGCCTAGGTGTCATCAGTAATAGCCTGCTTTCAGAACAGTGTCATCACTTTTCAGAATGCCCTCCTACTGGGATGGAATTGTATTCTAATTCTGCACTGTTCACCAGGAAAAAAAGCATCCAGTTCATAAAAGAAATGACGGCAGTAGAAATACGGTCTACGCTCCAGAACCTCTCACCAAAAGTTCAATCATGTTTAGATACATACAGATGGGAACATGATCTTCTAAATATGTATTCCTGAAGCAATGTACACATGCCCCCCCTATTTTACAAAGATATACAGCCTCTGCTTCCTGATTAGGAGTGCAGCATAACAGTGCTTTTTTTTCCCCCAATACAAATAACATTATGGCACAAATGCAAAAATTATGCATGCAGACTTGATTCAGCTTACATATTACCATTAAAACATTACTATATTTCAAAATATGGGCTCACTGAACATACAACCGTTTCCTTTAATGATAAATGAAACCATATCAGACCAGTGCCAGTGAGTGAAACATAAAACAATGTAAAAAAAAATTACAATTTGCATATTTCTTCAGAAATAAAACTTCATGATTCCTTTTTCTTCCTTCAGCACGGATAGGTCTCAGCAGCAGTACCCCCTCCAACCATTGAGCATCTTCTTCTCACACTTCAGAACATGAGTACAGGAACAGGAAAGTCTCAGTTCTCAGAGTTTGTAGTTGTGGAAGTTCCTCAGGCGGTGATGCTCTTATCACAACCATTATCAGTGATGAACTCGGCATCAGCAAGCCGATGGTAATGGTATTGCCCGGAGCAGTTTACAACACTTCACAGCAGAACCAGTCTAAGTCAGTGCATGGTGAATGTCAGACATCATAGAAGAGACGAACCAACTGGTATCGGATTAAAAAGGCACTGCAACTTCCAAGGACCTAAAACAGCAACAACAAGGTAGAATGTGAAAAAGCACGTTTTTCCTAACTATCAAGTTGTGTTTCATTGTACTTTTTGTGCAGGAAATACAAACTCTGCAAAACAGATTAACACTTCTATAGGACGATAAAGAGCCAACTCTGAAGTACCAAAGACATTATAGCTACCTAGGAGACCACTTTCCCCATATGTAAAACTACTGCTTGGTGCTGGAAGGCCCTCATATACGATGTGAAATTCACACAGTGGGTACCGCTGTCAGCACCCTTTCAGCCGGCATCCCTCAAATCAGCTGATAGAAGGAGCCAGTCGGAAAATGAGCTGCCGGCTCTGCGAGTATTCTGACAGAGGCCACTGTCAGAGTACAGTGCAGACAGTGGGAGATTCCTCTATCAACGCTAGTAAGGTTGAATGAATACAATAGTACAGTGAGGTGGCTTCTATTTAAAGTGTAAAAGAAAAAAAAAGAAAATGCTTTAAAATGTGAAAATTCTCAGGCCGCCGCAAGGCATCTTGGGGCAGGCGCATGCGCAGTTCACATTTTCGGCCGGGAGACGAGGAGAGACACAAGGTAAGTCTATGGACGCGTGCACCCGCATGCAGACACCTTGGGGCAGGAAGTACCAGCAAGGACAGAGGAGTCAGCGCTGGATCGGAGACCCGCACCACCGCTGGAGGGACAGATGAAAACATCAGGAAAGAAGAAGAAGATCGGATTAAGAGACATTATTCAAGGTAAGTGCTGACATTAACATTGGGGGAGGGAATTTTTTTTGACTTTAATGTCACTTAAAGGCTTTGTTCACACCATGTCCGGGATCAGGTCCAGACCAGAAGTTTGTTCCCGGACCAAAAAAGCATCCCAATGTATCCCTATGGTATTTCTGGGCTCTGTTTACACCAGCGGAGTCGATTCCAGGCCAGACAAAAAAAAAATACTGCTGGTCTAATTTTCTCTGGTCTGTAATGCATGGAAATGCATCAAAACTGCATGCAAACGCACTGGACCGCACGGGAAAGTCCATTTTAAGTGGGAAAAACAAACACAAAAAAAAACACACAAAAAAAACACTCCGTAACGCAGCAAAATCACGGTAAAAACGTGGCAAAAAGAAATGCGCCGCGTTCCAGATCTTGTCCGGAAAATGGTGTGAACCTGGCCTAAGAATATGGTATACAGAATCCTGGAGTTCAAAAGGGTTCCTTCATAGCAGGACCAATGGGCTGCGTCACATAATGCAGTCCCCCTGAAACGATATTTGGTGTGCTGGTGACATCCACTTATAAATATTGCTACTGGCGGCGGTCACTGCAAGCACCCCCCCTGATGCCTGGGGTACCCAGTAAGGAGTGCGACAAGGCATCTGCATTTTACATAATGCAGTCCCAACGCAAAAGGCCAGTGCTCAGTTACACCGATGTTCTGCATTGGAGTGCATTGCAATAACATGACGCAGGCATACATTTTATCACAGCGCACCTAGTTACAACACATTGCAAGGCACTGCTTTGCAGAGCTGAATGATGTGTAAATAAAGAAAGTTTCATAAGTAAAAAAAGGAAGGAAGTATTGCAATGCATTGTAACAAGGCATGCATGCACACACGCACAACGCACACATGTTATGCACATCATAATGCACATTTACTGGTGTGAACTGGCCCGAACTCCAGTCCTCCCTTCAATCTTGTGGTTGTACAGGCTCTGCTCCTTGAATGGAATTGCTTACTGTGATTTCACTGCACTGTACATTAGAAGCTGCAGCAATGCATTTACTGGCTGGAGGAACTCCAGCAACATTTAGCTCTTCCCTCCCCAGCCCTTTTCAGTCACTGGATTGTCCTTTTGGTCATGGGGACTCAGCATCAAAATATGGGTGATACCTAGGGCAGTCTTCATATAAATACAGAGTACCCAGAAATGCACACTTCTCCAGACTAACATCCACCCATCAATGCCGTTTGATATTTGCATAACCCCTCCCAAGAGACAGCCCACCACATGCATCAAGGGTAAAAGCTCTTTGAGAGGAGTACTGAGGCAGTGATGGGTTCAGAATGCTATATACAGCACCCTGCTGGCTCCTCCAAACAGCCATGATGTGCCTGCATTACATAGAGGAGCACATAAACCAAATGATTAAATCACTGGGTCTAAAATAAGGTATGTCATGAAAAGGAGAAGATTGAAACATTTAATTGGCAGGTAAATTTGTAGGAGAGGAGAGAGAAACCACAGAAGGCAAATATAATCAGGATTAATCTTCAGCCTTAATACTAACATTAGACATCTTAAAGGAATTGCAACATGTTGTTATGACACAGAACAGCTTTTAATGGCACTTTTTAAAATGTAGAATACCTGTTGTCTGGCACGAGGATCTTAGAACTATAAAGTTATTACAGGATCACACTGAACTGACACCACTCAGCCATATACCAGGAACCGCCACCAAGGGAGGTAAGAGACACATGTAACTGAGGAGCACAGCTAGAACAGTCTCATGTCTACATTACCTGTATGAGAAGTAAAATGATGGTTAGATTCCTCTCCTTCGTTGGCCCAATCAGTTTCAGCACAAAGTTTATCAGGGTCATGTTATTTATTTCCATATATTCTTCATCACTTTTATATCGTTTGACATCAATCACACAAAGAGTTTCAGCAACCTAAATGGTCACATCATAGAAAAGACAAAGCACAAATCTCGATATAAAAAGAGTGACAGACCGAATATTTTATTTCAAATGGTCCCTCAGATTTATATTTAGAGATTATCTTGTCTGACTTCCCATGTGTCCAGTGGAGGACAAGCACCCTGTGGAGATTGCTTGTCTATACAGAATGGGAGGGGGGGCTGTCTGTAAACATTGATGGGCACAATACACAGATGAACCTGCCGAAATTTGCTCAGAGGGTGGCCCTGTTTGCCGCTTCCTGTTGGAATCCTTCAATTGAAAAATGAAGGGCCGGTTCACACCACAAAGTGCGTTCCAGAGCGTTCAGCCTCCGTGCGTTCAGGGGAGTGGTGATGCAATGAAGTAAATGGCACCGCCACCTCGCCCCTACCTGCAGTGCGATCGCCCGCACCCGAACGCTTAGTGCCTGCGTTCCGGTCCAGTAAGTTCTGCAAAAATGCTGCGTGCACTATTTTTGCAGATCGCACTAGACCGGTATGCAGGCACTAATGTGCCACGCATTTGGATGTGGGTGATCGCACTGCAAACGGGTGGCGTGGCTGCGGTGCCATTGACTTCAATGCACTGCCATGCCCCCTTCTGCCCCAGAATGCAGGGAGCCGGCCGGTTTGCGTTCCAGAGGTCGAACGCTCTGGAACGCACTCTTTGTGGTGTGAACTGGCCCTCAAGGAGCTGGGTGGAAAATTGTCAGCCGAACAGCACCTGCATTCAATCAGGTACTTTGACAGCTGGCAGTGCCTACTGTCAGGATGCAATCTAAAACAGCATGAATGGAAGAAATCGGTATGTTTCCATTCATTTGTAGGTATATGACCAGCCTTGCACACATTATATATTTCAGAGGATTTTTTTATTTTCTCAACACCATTATACAAACAAGTCCCTAAACAAAAACTCCACTAAAATGATCCAACTCAACACATTAGTTCTGCAGAAGCCATTTTGAAAGCTTGCTGCAGTTCATGAGCCAAAGCAAATGACAACAAAGGAATGTCCTCCCAGCCAACAAGGTTTCTAATTTTGGCAGAGAGGTACCAATTTTGTATCTCGCAAAGCTCTCATGATGCCACAATTTGGTACTATAATGACATTCATGTTAAAATGTAAACAGTTGTTGGAGCCTAAATCTTAGACTGGGCTCTATTTCCTTATGGTTTTCCCTTTAATCACAAAACGCCCCTTCTGTTAACATTTGTGACACATAATGTTGCAAATAAATAGCTACACAAGTCATTTTCTTATTCAAGAACAACTGTTTGAATAATAGTAGCCTGCCACTGCTGAATTCTCTCTGAAAAAGCTAGTTCCCCGACAGTCTCTAAATTCAATTTTTTTGAGTCCCAGACCTAGAAAAACTATGCAACCAGTAAATTCAGAGTTAATCTGCATGCTTGTTCCCAGGGTCGTCCCTATATAGTGAGGTGGTCACCTCAGGTGGCATCTCATGGAGGGGGGGGGGGGGGGCGACAGAGTGGCGGCCACAGCTCCCCAGGGTGCTAAGAGCTGTTAGCAACCTGTGACACTCTGTCTGGCTTCCTACCCAGCTCACAGACATCATCAGTTGGCAGGGTGCCGATTGGGATGCTCTGGCTGGCGTCCTGCCAAGCTCCTGACAACCAGTGACGTCAATAAGTTGGGCGGTACTGGACAGAGAGCCGCTGACAGCATTGCACCCGTCCCACTGTATCTGCTCCCCCCTCACCGAGAAGCACTAGCAGCAGCACCCCCGTTGGCCTCAGGCAGCATATAGGGTAGGGACGGCCCTGCTCTATACCAGGTCAGTGACACAGCATTAGAGCCAGAAGAACTCAATGGCAGCCAGGAAATTGGTATTTTCAGAAGGTTAGCAATGACAGCCCATACATGTATTTCATAACCAGGTCCTTCAAAGTTTAACAAAGAAACGTTTCAACCTGCAGCCACCTCTGATTTAATACAACTGACAGAAAATGTCACTGCCATTTATCAGTGGTGACACAGCATGTACAAAATGAACCTGGGAATCTAATTTTCTGGCATGTCTCTGGCTCATTGCTTCTTCCCTCATTTTATTTCTTATTGCAAAACATGGCTGATCATGTGAATATAGCAACTAGATCCTTCGACTTAGCCTGAGAAGGTCAGTGAAATATCCTCCTGCCCCAGTATGTACACAACAGAATCAAGTATCAATTGGCAACAAAGTGTCCTAAATTCTTAGCGAATGTCTTGGATAAAGTCATATAGTTTAGGAATGTTTGATCACCTTGACAACGAACGCTCCAACTCCCGACAGATCTTTTGATTTGAATTTGGAGTAACTCATGGTAAGCTTTCCTGTTTGAGGATCAAAACTGCAAAAAAAATGAACAAGCCAGTTAGTGCCAATGTGTGATAACCATTAAGGCTGCATTCACACCTAAGCGACACCTATTACGCGTGTTTTTTGTGCGCGTTTTTACGAGCAGATTGTGGCATATTCATGTGCATGGGCAAAACGCGCTGAATCTGCTCAAAAGCAATTGCAACGGCTGTTTTTTAAGCGTTTTATGAAATCATTGAGGAGAAAACGCGCTGAATCGGCCCCAAAGTAGCTAATTTAGTATTTTGTGCGACAGGCGTATTTCTCCTTGCGTCAAAATGCCCAGGTGTGAACAGGGGCCATAGAACTGAATGGGATTCCCGGGGTCAAGCGTTTTGTCCCACTGATTGATACGCTACAATATGCTTAGGTGTGAATGGAGCCTAATAGAACAGTTTGATTTTTTGGCATGAAACAATGATGTGCAGACCTCATCGGTGAAGTCACATCAGAAGATATGAAATTACCTCGGAAGCCGATGGCGTGGACACGGAATTATGTGCAGTAACTGTGGCACAGAGTACAGGAAATTTAGGACTTGTGGTATAAAGAAAAGCAGCATAGTTTTACTGAAGTGCCCAACGATGCCAACAACAGCAAAGGTCATACCAGCAAAGTAACAAAAAGTATCACCAACAAAAACTCTGGAAGGATACCTATGACAAGAAGAGGAAACAAAACATTTAGAAGATGAATAACTATTGAGAAAATAGATTTAAAACATCATAGGTTCCCTAAATTAACAGAAGATTGTATCTTAAGATGTAAAAAAAACAACCCATGACCTTTACAACTAGGGATGCACCGTTACCGATACTAGTATCAGTACTCGCCCAAATGCTCCGATGCCTGGCCCGATACTTCCTGTATCAGGAAGCTGGGCAGCACGTCATTACACGCTGCCCGTCTTCCTGATTGGCCGGGAGGCTGGCTCCATGCTACCTCGTCTTGAGGTGACGAGGGAGCATGGAGCCAGCCTCCCGGCCAATCAGGAAGC